ACATCAAAAAACATATTCTAAAGAAACGAGTACAAATTCTCTCTTGTTCTCGTAGACTTAACATTTTATCAAATTCTTTCTTTGATCTGATCCCCTAAACACATCACTGGGAATCGATCTTATTCAGTCGTACTAGCAATTATGTGGATAAATTCAGAGTGGGTCATCGCAGAATTTGCATTGGCATTTCTTGAAAAAGAAACCACATTGCCCTGAGATTGCATCTTCTAGGTTCTGGCAGTGATGACTGCAAATTGAGGAATGGAAGCATCTTGCATGGGGCCAAGTTTTACTGTTGCGCCAACATTTATGTCCCGGTTCCTTCCCTTCCGAAGCTGCCACAGAGATAAATGTACTAATACATAATATCAAGTATATAATTTTTTATAAACAAAATATTTAAAATGCTACAAATTCATGTTTGCTAATTTGAAAAATGACCACATACCATATACCCCAAATTATGTGATAAGTAATTTAATGTCACTTGCCTGAGGTTACAAAGATAATGATAGCGAAGAAGGCCGCAAAGACTTGAATATGACTAAGGAACCTCGCCATGTTTAATTCACTTTGGCTGCTTGATAAAATGGGAAATGAAATGAGAATGTATTTATAATATATGGTCTACATGATGCTCTCTTTCATGCTGAAGCGGTGAACTCATGGTTAGGTTGAGTTTACAAATAACGTGTACGAACAGATGATGCCAATGCTTAACCCTTTTTTTTGTTTTTGGTATTACTTGGAGCTGAACTTTGGCCCAGTTGCCAAGAGATAAGGTTTGAATCCTTGACCAAAACAAATTTTTGAGAGCTAAGTTGTCAACTGAGTTATCCTTGGGATTCAATGCTTAACCTTTTTACATATGAAATCTTTATTTTTATATTCAAAAGGATATGTTATTCTACCTACCTTTGTCTACCACTCTCCACTACCATCAGAATCTTAACCAACATTTATCTTTTTCTGTCTTCTTGAGATTCCGATCTACCAGTATTGGAGAGTGATAGACAAAAGTAGGCAGAAAAAATAGTAGATAGAATAACCTATTCCATATTCAAATTAATAGAACATAATTGACATTTAGCAACATTGAAAAATATTGTTAAATTATGAAAAAAAAATGTTGCTATTTGAATTAATAACATTTTGATATAAAGGATGTGTTGCAAAAAGGGTTTTAATATCACTTTAACATATTAGTTTAGAAAATATTAGTAGTTTAAAAAATGATTTTATTTACTTTTATGTTGCATTTAAATGTTATTTATTTATTTTTTGCAACATTTAAAAAATGCTACTAGTTCACTTTTTTACAATATGTGGAAAAAGTTACTAGTTTACCTTTTTGTAACATTTATAAAAATATTGTTAATTTAGATACTCAACTGAGTCAAATCTAGCCCAAGTGATAAGCCAGGTCAACCTGAATCATACTTAAAAAAAAAAACTTCTGTTTTCCCATCAAGAAATTTCAAGTTAATAAAAAAACACTTTATTATTATTTTTTCAGTCTACATTCACTAATAAGGGAATTCAGGAAAATGAAATCACAAGAAACACGAAAGTGAATTAAAAATTGCATGTTCTTACAATTATGATATTATACTCCGTCCAAATACATTATGGGAATCAGCTTTATATGAAGAATACATTTTTCCTCAAACGCTGAATAGTAGGTACGGAACAGTGACCAGAGTGTCACATTTTTTGCAATTTTTTATCAATCTATCACTCAAATAGTATTTTTTACCAAACTGTTACGTGTTGAAGTTCGCTACGATTGGTAGCGAACTTGGTAGCCAATAATGATTTCGTGACACGTAGAACATTATTGCAGGAAAAGCTGACTGCCACGTGTCCCAAGTTCGCTATGACTGATAGCGAACTTGGTAGCCAATGATTTCGTGACACGTGGCACACTTTCACAAAAAAAGTTGACTGGACGAAGTTCGCTAACAAGGTAGCGAACTTGGTGTGCTATGCTCAGAATTAATGTACCAATCACAATAAAAAGAAGAAGAAAAAAGGGCTCTTTAATTAATGTGCAATCACAATTGATGTATCAATCATCAATCACAATTAATGTACCAAGATTAACTTTTGATTGTATCAATCTCAATTAATGTACCAATCACCAATCACTCCGGAAGATCATAACTTTTGATTCAGATATCCAAATTGGATGATTTTTTATTTCATTTCATATAACTTTTCGAGATCTATGCAATGACACCTCATTTGACATATTTTATCTCTCACAAACATCGTTCAAATTTGTAACAATGGTATCACAAACAATTAATGCACCAATCATAATTAATGTACCAATCATCAATTACAATTAAGGTATCAATCAAATTTAATTGTGATTGATACATTAATTGTGATTGGTGATTAAGACATTAATTGTAATTGGTGATTAGTATATTAATTGTGATTGATGATTTGTACATTAATTAAATAGACATTTTCCTTCGTTTCTTTTTTATTGTGAATGATAGATTAATTTTAATCGGGCAATGAGATTTTGTCACATAGTGCACCAAGTTCGCTATCTCTGGTAGCGAACTTCGTCTAGTCAGCCACGTGGCTTGGTAGGTGGGCAGCAGAGGGGCATTAATTGCCGCCGAATTCGCTACACCCTGTAGCGAACTTGGTGGCCACTACAAGCACACCATCTCAGTAAACCAAGTTCGCTGCCCACTGTTGCGAACTTGGATGCGTGGCTTATTAGAAAATAGCACTGTTGGCGTGATATATTGGTAAAAAAATGGCTCAATAGTGGCATTCTGGTCACTCTTCCAGGTTTGATTGGGTAATTATCTAAAATATCACATTTATAAATTATTGCAAGTATAGTAGTTGTTTTTCTTTTCTTTCTTTTCTTCTCGGGAGGAAAATAGAAAAAAGGAATATGGCTATCTCATAAAATCGAGCTTAATTGGAGGTAATGCCAGTACATTGCTGATTGCCATTTAAAATCTATCAAAGAGAATTGTGAAAAAAAAGCCGGTCCACATGGCCTGTAATGCTGGGCCGCATAAATCAACTAAAAGGTTTAGGCTCAGTTTTACATTGTTACATTAATTGGCCCAATAACTATTTGATATGTTTTCCATCTATTAAAATTATTTGTATTGTATCATTGAGATATATTAAACGATAAAATTGTTCAAATTCCACAATGTAATTCCTTTTAAAGAAACTTATGGTCCAATCAAATGAATTGTCTATTAACAACTCTAACTTCTATGTTATATAAAAAAAAAAACTCTAACTAAGGCCGAGATAGAAAAAGAGATAGGGTGCTGAGGTTGGAAGAGAAATCGTTGTGCCTGAATGAAAGAGTTATCAATAAATATGGATAAATAACAAATCAATCTACTTTCAACAAAATACTTTTATCCAAACCCTCCTCCATGTTTGGGGTCTTTGCTTCTCTGCTTTTGAGTTTTACGCTTGCGCTAGTTTTCGTCTTACTTTAATTTGCCTTTGCTCTGTTTTTTTTTCTGACAAGGGTATGCTGTCTGCTAAAACTGTTCCATAATTATTTCATCATTGAATTTCTTCGACTTTTTTTTTTGTAGTAAATGATTCACCATTCAAAATGAGTTTGTGCCTTAATGGATGGCTTACAAATATTCCCTGAAAAGCAAACAAGTTGACTTATTAGTGATACTATTGGACACAGTATGTAGCAACAAATCAATGTATCCAAAAAAAAAATGCATATATTAATTTAGGAACGGATCCACTTACCACCAAAAAAAGTTTACAACTCTTATAACCAATTTAATTACCGTTGATTTCCATCAATCTAACGGTTATAATTTATTGAAAATTAATAACATTTATTGTGTCACATTTATTAATTTCCAATAAATTATAACCGTTAGATTGATGAAAATCAACGGTGATTAAATTGGTTGTAAAAGTTGAAAACTTTTTTGGTGGTAAGTGGATCCTCCCCAATTAATTTTAAGTTTTCAAAAGAGTAAAATATTTTATTATTTTGCTCTCCTTATTTTAATTTTAGATATTTTTAATATAAATAATTTTTTTTAAAAATGTGAGTTAATTTATTATATTATTCTTTACATTTAAGTTACACATGTGTTTTTTTAAAATTAATTTTCCTCCTCTTCAAACTTAAATATTTGCTTTATTTTTTTTAATATTTTCTTAATCTTATCCTTATCCATTTTTCAATATAAATGCTATTCATAAGAAAATACAATAAAAAAACATCTGATAAAGATTTTTATTTTTTATTTTTTTTGTATGAAACATATATATACACACACACATCGTCCAAAACAAATTCTTCTAATCTAATTGCAATAACAGTAATCTTTAGCAATACCATAATCTCAATCTTTTGTTAGATATTCTAGTCAAAAGTAGATGAGGTGGCATATGCATTTTAATCAAGAGGATTTGATTTATTTTTTAGTACTGTCAATGAATAGCTGGATGCTTTATAATGCTGTGATGAGAAAGCATCCGTATATACCAAATTTGCACTGATCTTGGTATATTATATGTAATTGGTAAGAGCGTAAGACAGAGGGAAAGAATAAATAGAAATAAAAAGAAGTTGAAAATGTTTAAACTTTTATTCCTTCAAGCTTAAGAGAAAGAATCAAATGTTATTTTTAATCTCTTTCAGTTTTCATATTAAATAACTATAAAATTATGGGTTTTCATTTTATCCTTTAACATAACACAACAAACTTTCCTACACTCACAACATTTTGTAGGGTCCACACTTTTTAAAACAAAACAATAAATAAAAAATTAAGACACGCAAAACGAATCTCTATAACATTACACAATCACTTTTCCTACAACATAACTCTTATAAAACCCTAGAATTATTTATACATCCTAAGTTGTTAACTAGTTCATTTTTCCTCCTCCCATTTTCGATTATTTCATGCAGAACCTCACAGACATACAGAGCCTCACACTTTTTATCTAAAATTGAAGTGCAAGTTCTACCAAAGTCCTTGTGAGTTGACTAATCTTTGCGTTGGTGGAGAAGATAATGCTTGAATTAAGGGCGTTCATCAGCATCCCCAAACCACTGAATTTGAAGACAAGAGTATTTTAAATCTTAAGGTGCTTCTCTTTATTCTCCACCATTGTCTTTTCATTTGTATTTGGTGTGTTGTCCTTGTCGTCAAGGATAATTGAGAGCACTTTGTCATCCACAAATATTATTTTATGCCAACCTAATATCTTCTTTTGAGCAAAACCAATTGATTGATATCCCTATAATCCCTAGGCATGCTTTCTAATTTTCCTTTGCATCTCCTTTAAATTTGAGCTTTAGCGTCATATGAATTATTAGTTGAGTCATTACTAAGGATATTTTTTCTGAGTAATGAAAAAGCAGCAAGTTGTCTTTAAAGGTATTTGAGTTTAATAAATTACAGCAAAAATAATGTTACAAAATCCATGAATTTGTAGTCTAGTAATTAACATTATTTGTATAGCGTTTGACACGCAGATAAAACATAACTGAATAAAATATGAGGAAATGGGATGGAAAAGTTTCATTATGTTCTATTTAGTTATATTTCTTTTAGTAAAACTATGATAATAAATTTTATTAGTTTTATGTTTTATTCTATTTTTATTTAATACTCGCCAAATATAAAGTAAAACTTTAGGTCTTGTTGTTGTATTCTAACAGGTTTACGAACATACTCTAAGAGATTGTGGTATTTAATATCAGTTTTAATCGACATATACTTTATTGTCCAATTCTTCACCTAAATTTCCAATAGAATTTCTCATCTGATTAAAAAAAAAAAGCATTTTGTTATAAATAAAATATGGGTATTCTAGAAAATTTTAGTTTTTATTTAAAGGATTGTTATAGACTCATATATGAGGCTCATCTATTGATAAGCTCAACAAGAGACAATCCAAATATAAATCAATTACAGTTAAAGAAATGTATTCAATCAAAGATACCAATCATAATACGACAGTATAATATATGGGCTTGGGTCATTCACAATAGTACTGGAGGTCCAGCACTCAATACTCACGAGTAAATTCTATAAATAAAAAGTAAAATATGCAGATACACACGTTCTCTGTTCTCTCTCTTACCGTCACGGCATACACACACCACTTTTCTTCCGTGTACAGTGATCTGCTTGACTCATCAAAGATATCTAACTCATAGATACTTCAAAAAGGAACGTCAAGATCCAAAAGCAAAATACTAGCCGCCGTTGAGCTAGACATCTTTCTCTCTTTCCACAAAGGTCAGCCTTCAACTATTATCCTATTTTATAAGTCATTGCACTAACTTTTTAGACTGAATGCCCCAACAAAAAGCAAAGTGGTCTCCCTTTACCTTTTTGGTTTGAATTTATAACTAAGGAACACTGAGTATGCTTTTTTGCAATGAAACTGTCTATTTCAGTATTTTCTTTGGGGATTCCTCTCTAGGGAATTTATTGTTCCCTGCAAGCATTTTGCATTAAGATACCAAGCTGCGCATATCATGGGTCTCATGCTTCTCAAGAAGTTCAGCCTTCTCTTCCTCCTCATTTCTGGATCACTTTTATCAACTACTTCTTTTGCAGGTGGTTCTTTTAATTAGGTCTTGTGTTACACTTTTGGTGCCAAACCTGGTTACTTACATTGTAACATGGCTAAATTAAAATCGAACGAGCTTGAGTGCATATGAACAGAGTTCGATATATTAGACATTGTCGTATATCGCTTCATATTCTATTCACGTATGTCAATAACAATGGCAGTGCTTGGCTTAACCTGAATTTTCTTGGGGAATGAAATTTGATGATGCTTTAATTTATTACTATTAAATCTTTTGGTTTGATTCCATGATTTTGGTTTAATTTATATATCTCAACACTTCTAAAGTTAAGGCATAAGCTAGATAGCTTTATTCATTCTTGTGCACGTTAAGTACAGGCCCTGAAATCGTTGGACGACAGTAATTTTTTTTTACCTTGTCTGTGTTTAATGAGTTAGCAGGTCGACGATCAGAGTTAATCAATGACTTGGCTGCAGATGTGTATTCAAACCAAGAGGAGGTACATGACGTAGCCACCATTTATTCATTTTCCTTTTTAGCATATCAGGCTCTAGCTTATATATGCTTATTTGCATATGCAAGAAAGAGCTCTCTGAAGATGATAGTTAAAATATCCATTTATTACTATACTTTTTATAAAAAAATTTCATCAAAATATTTGTACCAATATTTCAAACGTTTTTATGTTTTTATTATTTTTTTGTGTTACGATTTTACATTTTATGATTTTTTGTCCCTCTTCCATTTCTACATAAAATCTCATTTTTAACAACATTGATCTTCACCCCACTTTAACACACAATTGGAAAAAGAAAACTATAAATTATGAAATTAAGAACAAGCTATTTGCTATATAATTCATGTATCTAACTCTACTTTGTATTTCCTCCTCGCTTTTGTCTCTTATTTTTTAAGCCTTGTACCTAACAATATGGTGCAGAAATCATGAGCTAACCACATCTAATGCGCCTTTCTATTTGATGGAACTTGTGAAACGGAAATTTCGATCATAAATTCAATGGGCAAGTTATATTTACAAACTTTTTTGTTTACAAACTATACTATCTTCTTTCGAGAGAACACTAGTCACACTATCTTCTCCCGGGATAACATAATGCAGTTTGCAAAAATTTGTAAAAAAAATTATAAACAATCTTTCCCCTAAATTCAATATTGTACCAAGAATTCTTGAGTTTTTGGGCTAAGAATACAAAACTGAAAGCCGATATAGCTTTCTGTCAGAGAGATATAAGATATAAAATAATTAATTTAGCTACAGCTAATGCCTTAAGTTTTGGGCTAAAGTGACGCTTATCATAGTATCAGAATTTCAGTGACGATCCTCGCCCCTACTTTCAGGTGGAATTAAAAAAAAAAACAAGGCAGACTCCAAAAGTCCAGCACAAGACAGACCAATAATAGACTTGTGTCATATCCACACTTCAAGCTCAAAGTATTCTTAAGTGAGAGAATTTGTTAAAGAAATATAAAATCATTAATTTAACCTCATCCAATGCTTTAAGGTTTTGGATTGAGGTGACATTTATTATTTTCGATTTTTCATTTTCCATTCTCTAGCTTCCCATATATATTTCAAGTTTCTAATTAAATTGTTGCTTATATATATGCTTGCTTAATTTGCTAGGGAACGCCAAGAAAGCCACTGAATGAGGAAGAAGTAACCATCATCCACGAGAGGCTTCTAAGGGCTAACGCAAAAGACTATGGAAGATATGATCCATCGCCAACTCTATCTAAGCCTCCTTCCAAGCTCATACCCAACTGAATTGATGTTTAAATATAGGGGAAGGTTTATAAATTTTTTTATAAATTACACTAAATATGATATATTTTTTATTAGTGTATGATCGGTCAGATATAGTGTAATTTGTAAGAGTTTGTAAACAAAAAATTTATAAATATAATCTTCTCCTTAAATATATATTAAAAGGTTGGCGGCGAAGTGGAAATGTACTATTGGAATAAATACCATAAATATCTACTTTTTATCTTAATACATAGAGCAATATTCATATAAAGAGAGAGAAAGAGAAAAATATTTAATCTTTTCTAATCAATTTCACGGTGTAACATAAGAGGTAGGATATTCATACTACCAAATTTTTTTACTACCATTTTACTACTACTCTAATCACTATTGGATTAGAGGAAAAGTTGAATGAAGAGAGAGAAAAGAAAAATAACTTTTGAATCCAATAGTGATTAGAGTGGTAGTGAAGTGATAGTAGAAAATTTTGATAGTATAAATATCCTATCTCGTAACCAATTTTTTATTGGGCTTTCGTTTGGTCCTGATGCAGCAAATTTTTTTTTCCTACAACAAAAAACGACAAGTAAAATAATAAAAATAATAATTAAAAGAGACAAATTTTATTTTGTCGGTAGTCTTGCATGATAGGAATCTTGTTCCTGTAACATAATTGTTATTAATCCCTTCCTTTTTTTTCCATAATAACACCCCCGCCCCCTCTTTTCACTTTCCATATTTTCGTTTGCGTTTGTAGTCTACTACCAATCACAGCTTCAAAAATGTATCTCAAACTAAATCTACTCAAATTTTGAATGTACACCTGAAAGAGATAGTGAAAATGTAAAAAATAAAAAAGCACTCAGCCATATCCACTTCCAATTGTATATGGCAGGGGCAGATTCTTTCTTGGAAACAAACAAGGAAAACTATAAAATTTTGTCAATTGCACACAAATCTTTTTAATGACAAACTATTCTTACCTCTCGCATTTTCTATTATACAAATATTTTATCTATTTTGAAAATTTACACAAATATCTCCCGACTCAAACTGCGTTTCTTTTTCTCCGATTGTCTAGTTGTGTCAACGAAAGAGTTTCCCTCCCCATTAATTTGTTGCCCACAAACTCAGAAGTTGACCTTAAGTTGTGATTTTTTTTTTTATTTTTTTGGATGAATAGGTTGTGAATTTTTGAGCTTGTGTACAACGCATGCAATACGACTGATCGCTGCCTCCTAGTTCCTTCGCTTTTGGGCTTCTTTGAATTATTTTAGCTCTGAGGCCCATAAAAAGTAGTGCTGCATTTTCTCGTAAGGGCGTAGGACGAGTTCCATTTTTCGTACAATACCTGCAATTCTTTTAGGAAATGTTGGTTCAGGTGAAATTTTATTTTACTAAAGAAATGTAATTATCAGGGATGTGCAAGAAAAGTGAGTTAGATAGATAAATTTAAAAAAAATTGTTTAGTTGGATCAAATTTTACCAGAAAAATTGAGTGAAATTCCTGAATCTGTGTTTGATTGGTGATAAAATATTGACGAGGAAACATATTAAAATTACAAAAAAAAACCCTTTTAAAAATGACTCTATAACTGCAGGGGAAACATCAATAAGGTTCACGTTCCTAGCTATTTCTCCACATATGTTTTGGATCTGTGACTGTAATCTGAGAACTCCCTTCTTTCTTTGTCTTGTTGCCCTTACTGTTCAAGTATTGATGATATGGCTTCAAGCTCTTCCTTGACAGTTGCAGAAGTTTTTTTGTGGCTGTGAAGTTATAAAAATTATGCAGAGGAAGTTAATTTAGCATTTAAAAATTTAAATGCATCTCAAGCTTAGCATCAGACAAGGCTTGAAGTAGCTGTGCTCTTTCATCTTACTTCCGTTTGTTTCTTTAGTACCATTTTGGGTTTTAGAACATAAAGATTGTGATCTACATATGCAAGCTGTGGCCGATGTGTGATGTATTGTGAAAAGTTGTTTGCTCACGTGTGAGGGGTATTCTTGTCACCGTATTATACCACTTTATTAACTTATTCGATTTTTTCAAGAAATTCCACGTTCCAAGTTGCTTTTATCAACCGTGGTTTTGATCCTTTTTAACAAGTAATGGTCGATAGCTAGGCAAGTGAGAGTGATGAGTAAAATTCATGATATCTTTCTACCAAACGTGAAGAATTGACAATGCCAGAATCACTTAGCTAGAAAACTTTTCAAAACTCCTGAACCAAACACCCATTTCTTGTCTACCTTCCTTTGACAATATATATAAATATATGTGTTCATTCTTTTTACAGTTAATGTAGATAATTTATCTATATTGAGCCCAAAACGATATTATTTTAAAGCAGAAATCAAGGTATTTTTATAATTATAATTTATTTCAGGGTTGTAATAGTCTTTATCATTATAAGTTTTTAATTTTTCAACTCAAAACAATGTCGTTTTGAAAACGAAAGTATATAACTTATCTACATTCACTTTAAAAACATTAAAGCCTAAATATATATATATAAGGTTCGCTTTTTCTACGGTCAATGTAGATAACTTATCTGCTTACCAAAAAAAATTGAGCCCAAAATGACGTCTTTTTGAGGCAGAAATCAAGGTATTTTTGTAATTATAATTTATTCAAGGTTATAATGATCTTTTTCATTATATTTTTTTAATTTTTCAACTCAAAACGACGTCGTTTTAGCAGCGAATGTAGATAACTTATCTACATTCACTTTAGAAACATTAAAGCCATATATATATATATATGTAAAAAAAAATATGAATTTGAGCATCACTCTATTACAAATAAAAAAACTCAAACACCTCACTTGTTAGCATAGGTTAGTATGGTTATTAATAATTCGTTAGATGATTAGTTAAATACTAATTTATAAATCATATTATGATCCTGTTTCTTATTTTATCAATTTTCAAATTCCAATTAAGTCATTATCTTTATCTCAAAGTTTCTTTTTATATATATGTTTCCCGACACTGGTTGTTTTTAAACACAGTACAACATGGAGGCCATCATGTTCCTACTATATATGAAGCTTTAGCAAATGATTCAGTAGCCCGAAATGATGGATCATGTAGGGTAGAGCGCGTCGGGTCTTATTTAAGCCTCACATAAGTTATGAGATTCACAATTATTGTGTCACTCTCATTTCCCTATGATCCTTCAATCAAAGTTGGGCCTTCTTCAAACAATAATATACAAGCATCTGCACATTAGTTTGTGTTTAATTAATGGAAAATTATACTATCATGTTACATGAGATTTATCTCTCATATAAAAAAATGCATTTTTTTTTTATTAAAACTTGGCAGACCTTATTTTATTTGTCTCACAATATAAGGTAACACCTCTCGTATTACATGAGAAAAATAAAGTCTTTAATTAATTTACCAGTAACATAATACCTATTTTCCACAGAGATAAAATTTTAGCAGATTTTGCTATTTGGAGGGCATGGTTTAGGGCTGATGGGCTTTTTTTGGGGCAAAAGATGCTTTTTTTAAAAAAAATAAAAATAAACATTTTTACTACAAAGTCTGTTTGGAAGTTTGTTTTAAAAAATATATGTTATAAAAAAGTCAAAAAAAAATTTAAAACTAAAAATTTTAACTTCTAAAAAATGTAGAAGTCAAAAGTTAAATTTTTTTTTAAAAAAAATTAATATTTTTTTAAATGTAAACAACTTTAACTTTTATAAGAAGCACTTAGCAAGAATAAAAAATCTTTTTTTTTTAAGTTCATCCAAACAGATACTTAACTTATGGACTAGCCCCAAACTTGGCACTTCCCTTATTTTTTCTTTTCTTTTTTGTCTTAGAAACACGATATATATAATGTGTCATTGATGTTTGATGCTAACTAATATACATGAAGTATGATCTTTTGATATTAGTGTCAAATTTTAAATTTGACACCTCATTTGAGAGTCATTAGATCAAAAAAGATTAACAACTCTGATTTATAAGCAGGTGACGTCATTGATCTTTTTTAATCTAACAACTATAAAATGAGGTGTTAAATTTAAAATTTGACACTGGTGTCAAAGGATCCTACCCCAATATATATATATATATAGGTAAATATTTCTACAGCCACTTTAGATAAGGTCATCTACAGCAATCCAAAAACTACGTCGTTTTGATTAATGAAGGGTGTTTATGTAATTTTAGGTGAATTAATGAAAGGTATTTCCGTAATTTTGTTTATTTTTTTATCATATGCATTTTACTGAAACACCTTTCATTAATTCACCTAAAATTACATAAACAACATTCATTAATCAAAACGACGTAATTTTTGAGGTAGCTACAGATAACCTTATCTTAAGTAGTTGTATAAATATTTTTTTTCCATATATATATATATATATATATAGATAGGATCCGTTTACAAATTTTTTTTGCAAATTACACTAAGTACGACCGGTCGTACACTGCATGATTAAAGTAGGACCGGTCGTACTTAGTATAGTTTATAAGAGTTTGTAAACAAAAAAGTTTGTAAATATAACATGCCCCGTATATATATATATATATGGATTATATTTATCTCATTCAACATGAGATAACTCATCTTCCTACACACACATAACAAAAGTGGATCACATCTTTATTTTGTCTCTTTCCATTCATTTGTGGGTCTCCCTTATTATTTTGTTTCACTCACATAAGATAATTTATCTACATCAACGTAAGAAAAATATTTTCATATATATATATATGGTAAAATTATTTCTGCAGCCGCTTTACATACAACAACGACAGGTGTATGGTTATGATTCCTCACATTTAATGCTTTCATCCAGTGTTATAAAAATCGGATCGACCCGGAAACCAGTGAACCGGTCATGTAACCGGTCTGGTTTTCATATTGGACCGATCATGTTACAGAATCGGTGTGACCCGGTGCGACCCGGTCGGTTCAACCGGTGACCCGGCTCGGTCTATAAAAAAACTAATTTATTTTCATCAAATAGTATCTTCTTTTTTTTACTTCAAACACAAATGGTTTATTTTCTTTTGAAATATTGGAGTGATTTGTAGCTTATTTTTTTTTATTTTTTTTATTTTTTGATAACAATTTGTAGCTTATTAACTTATATAGATTATGTACCAACAACACTAATATTATCCTGATTTTGAAACATGCAGGGAATTTTGATTTAATTTATAGTTAGAGATGTCGTTTACTAAACCTAAAACACTAGTATCACAAATATTATTTGTTTGATTGATCTTTTGTTGGACAATGATGTATACTTTATTATTTTCATGTTAAAATATTTGAAATTGGTATCATTTTTTTACAAGTATTTAAGTATATTTATAGTTTTTAAATATAAATTATAGATTTATATATACTTACCAGGTCATGCGGTTGAACAAGTGACCCACTGGTTGAATCAGTGACCCAGTAACCCAGTACCTCGACCCATTGCTTTCATTTTTTGTATGGTTATGATTCCTCATATTTAATGCTTTCAAATATATATATATGGCAAGAATTTGATTGTTGCACGTACAGCAACTGCAGAAATGTAAACCCCTATATATATGTATATATTATATTAGGGAAAAATATTTCTCAAGCAACTTGAGATAAGTTTATCTCTGGCTATCCCAAAATTACGTCATTTTATTTTTTTATTTCCTTATATTAACTGATTCACCTTTGAATGATTATGATTTCCTTTTTCTCTCTCTTCCTTTATCACCATTGATCCATATTTGTACGGTTATGATTTAGTAGCCGGAGATAAGATTATCTCAATCAGCTTGAGAAACGATAAGCCCATATATATATATATATATATATATATATATATATGGGGCAGGATTTTGACATCGGTGTTAAAATTCAAAATTTGACATCAAATCCTATCCGTTGATTTTCGCCAATCAACGGTTATCATTTATTGAGAATCAAACTTATTAATTAATATTAATTTTCAATAAATGATAACCGTTGATTGACGGAAATCAACGAATAAGATTTGATGTTAAATTTCAAAGTTTGACACCGGTGTCAAATGATCCTATCCCTATGTATATATATAAAAGGATCTTGTAGTGCTTCTTTTTTATGATAACATATAATTATGTAAAAAAATCATATAAAATATCTGAAATCCACGAATTTAAAATAGAATCTCCAATGAATTTGGCCTGGAATAACTGTAAGGGTGTAAATGAGTTAAGCCCAGCCAAAATTTAACTTAAACAAGCCAAGCTTATAAAAAATATTTAGTTTGGCTTTACTCATTAGCTTAGTACGAGCTAAATTCTAGGCTTGCTTGGCTTGTTTATAAAAGATTAAAGGCTTGGCTTGAGCTTGACTTGACTAATTTATAATTATAAAATGTATTTTTTCAAACTCACATATGTCTAAATGTTGAGACTACAAATGCATCAAATTATATATTCCTTCGTCATAGAAAAAATAACCATAAAAATCACTTAGTCTATATGTATTTTAAGATCGAATAATGAGTTCCATAATTTCTTCTTCAACATTGAAAGCAACCACTGCTTAATGAAGAGTATGAAGTGTATAAATTTGATTACTTAATAAATCAAGAGAATGTGCGATCGGCGCCGCTTGCAATGTAGAAAAGAAAAAAAAAAAAAACCCTATGACGACTTCACTACTAATAGAATAAGCTGTCAAAACTTATTATATTATAATCTTCAAAAAAATAATAGAGAAAGAGTACCTGAGTTTTGTCAGTTAGTTGTGGAGTTAAAGGTAAAAAAAAGTAAGGTTACAAAAATGATTTAGTGATATAAAAATATATTATTTATTATAATAATATATCAGATCAGCTTACGGCTTTCAAGTCAAGCCTCATTAAATTAGGCTTAAGCTTCTTTGTTAAATAATTTTTTTTTAAAACTTGAATTTATTCTATTTATCAAACAAGTCAGGTGAAATTATTTACCAAAAAAAAAAAAAACAAATCAAGTCAAATCAAATTTAAAACAAGCTAAATTTTAAATCTTTAATAAGCTACTCGGCTCAATTACACCGCTAGGTATAAGATTATCAGCTCTTATGTCTCAACTTTTGTAGTTAATGGGCTCTTTAATGGTATGTTTTACCTAATTCCGAATTAAAAGTGAATATATGGTTTACGAAAACCTAATTATAAGATGGATTAATACTTGGCGTCTCTCACCAACGCACGCCACCGCTTAACAGTTGACAGCGACCAACCTATACGTGGCAGTGACTCAACCACAGTGAATAGACATTTATCACCTTCATCTTTCAACAAATAATGAATTAAACGGGACACGTGGGAGGGTATATTTGGCAATGCAACACAGTTTAACAAAAGGTTCACTCCATTTTCCTTCCATTCTACCCAAAAGTAAAAAGACAGTTTTGGTTTTCAGTTGCGTACACGACTCAAGCGTCTCACTTGTTACTTGTTAGTGTTGCACCTTTGACAATCTGATCCTGACCAGTAGTAGTGTAAGTTGTTATGGTTAACCATTTTCACTTTATTTATTTTTTTAATTCGAAAATCATTGTGGATTTGGATGGTTTGGTTATTCTCCACGTATTTTTCCTTTTTTTGTCATCAAATATTAATTCCTTTTTTGAATATTTTTACAATACAATATGCATGCACCAAAAGCCTTGGTAAAGTGTGACATATATTAAATTATGATAAATTTATTTTATTCTAAATTTTTTTCTTTATTTTTAGGAGATAATTTATTGTGTGTAAAAATTTACACTAATAAAACATTAAAATTAAATTGATCTAAAATTTACCGATTACCTAATTTGTACATGCATAATACTTACGTTAAAGAAATAAAGTAATATATGTGTGTGTGATATTTCACACATAGCAATAATGTGGAATTGATTTGGTTTTTGAGTCGATAGCAGTTATAATCCGTGATCAGTTTAATATATATATATATATTATTTTTTAGTAGGCTGATCAGTTTAATTATTGATTTGGGGAATGATATTTTTTCTAGATCAATTTATATCTATTATATTCATTTATAAACAGCATTAGCCACCATTAAAATGGTCCGTATCTTGTTTGATATGGGACCATCCAACAAAACCCACCTACTTGTAAACACAAGCAAATTTATATTTAGCTTGCCTCACCGTTTCTCATTGACTTTTTTTTAAAAATAAAATAAAATAAAATAAATTATGGTATAACAAGTTTAGAAAAAGAGAAATTGAAAAGAAACGAATTAAGAAAGAAACAGATTCATACGGTGCATTGATCTGATTATCACATTGACATTTTTTGGGTTGTGACTTGTAACGGTTTGATGCGGTAAATTATGAGATTATTCAATTTAAACTATACAAGGGAATAAAAAAATTAGAAGAAAGGAATTATCACCGAGAATAATGACTTTTATGAAGAATATGTTCTCTAAATATTAGGGTCATGATACCTTTTGTCTAATATGAAAAGCATGGAATGCGTACTTCCTACTCCGAGTGCTGCACAAGAGAGTGCCGCCTGTTAACCTTTTACCCCACTCAAATTCCATACTTTTAAGACCTTTAACATTAAAAATAAAAACACACAAAATCAAACACAAAACAAAACACATTTTTACATTTTGTATTATTAGAAAAAAATATTTGTCATTTTAAATGACATAAAATTATGTTATTTTTATCATTGAAAATTAATAAAGTTAATAATGACTTTCGATTAACAATTTCTTTCGAGCTACAATTTTTATCACTGAAAATTGTAAAGTTATGTATACCATTTTAAAACTAAAAACATGTAAATGAGTGTGGAATCCAATTGGTGTTAAAAAAATGCCAATTTTATAGTTAATAGTTATAAACAAGTTTGAATTTGAAGATGAAAATTTTGTTAAAATTGTTGCGATTGACGAGGGAAGGAAAAAAATATATTAAAGGTTGAATAATATTTTATTAAATAAGAAAATTAAAATAAGGGAATATAAAAAATTAATCCTGAAACATGATTCGAGATATTTTAAATTATTTTAAAATATAATCTTTACCTTTTTTTTTAAGCTTGATACTTAACAAACATAATAGAATTAGATTATATTTACAATTTTATTTTTACAAATTCAATTATATATTTCAGGAAATATAAACTCTCTTCCCCAGCAATATATAGTTAATTTTGTAAGAGTTTCTAAATTATATATTTTGAGAAAGGGAAAAGTATTTATCTTACATAACTTATCTTATTTTACTTTAAAAAAAAGTGAGATCCATATTTTTATTTTATTTTTTGTCAACTCTCTCTTCTATTTTATCTATTTTTTTTTTAAATATTACAATCGGTTTATTGCTTCGCAACTAATTCGATTCGAGACGGGTTTAAGATTATCTTTCTCTCTTTCTTACGATGATATAACTTTACATCGTTTAAAATGACATTTTAGATTTCCTTTAAATATAAATACTCAAGTGTCTTGCCCGAAAAATATAATAAATTTTATAAGAAATGGTAAAAGAAAAGTTTGTAAACATAAAACTCGTATATGTATTGTAAATTTTAGTTTGTTGGAGATTCGGAAGGGTTTGATAAGAGAAGTGTGAGTGCAGTAGCGCTAGGGAAGAGGGAGAGTCCGTAAGGGCGTAAAAGAACTGTCTGAAACGCCTCTTTCCTCATTTTCTTGTTTGCGTCCTCTCTGCAACAACACCACTCTCTCTCTCTCTTTCTCTCTCTCTCTCTCTTTCTCGAATCTCCTTCGCCTCTTCCACTCACTCTTTCTCTGTGACGCTTTGTTTCGTTAAAAGGTACGCGCGTCTTGGGGTCATAGTCATTTCGTGTCTCTCTATACGCTGATTCATTTTGCTTTCATCATATGTACCAAATACCATGTTTCTGCACCGAATTTCAAAATCAATAGTTTTTATTTTTCTCTCTCTCTCCCGCAATAATAATTATAATAATAATTACTATTGGAACTTTGTAGGTCTTGACTGTGAATTCCGTTTTTTCAGCATTGATTTCGGATCGTTCTGACTTTTCGAGTGAGCTGAATATTTTCCGTATTTAGGATTTTCGATTTCACTGATTTGTATTCTTCTTTACTAATATATCAGATTGATTGGATCATCTCCGACCACCTTTTTCAATTTATTTGGGGATAGAGTATCATTTTTTGTTGGTTTTATTTATTTATTTTCCTTGTCTTGCCGGTGATTTGAGGTTGGTACTGATATCCATGATTAGAGTAAATAGGATATGATTCATTTGTTTATTTTTACAACACAACAGACACTTTTTTCCTCCCTTCCTGCAGATCCTACTGTATTGAAATGTTGTGTGTTCATCACTATCAATGTTTTATTGACTTAGATCACATTTGAAGTTGTTTCATGTCTTCATGTGGGTCAGTTTGGTATCCCCTTAAAAATTAGATCCTAAAGTCACTAGAAGTGGGCTTGTGGTGAGGGGCTAGAGTATTTTCCATGAGGTTATAGGTTCAAACTTCAGTGTCACCCGTTGTATAAAAAAAATTAGAGGCTAACAGTTCAAGGATGAGTTTTACGTGGGAAATTCTATTAAAAAACTTATTGCTCTTTACACGTTTTTCAACACCCTTTTGATTCTGAGCTTATATTTGGTCTTTATCTTCTGATCTTTTTTTGGTGGGGTATTTTAATTTGGAATTATGTTTAAATTCAGCATGACAACTGGTTTAGTGACAATGATAATTTGTTTTGGATTATGCTTTTGACTGTCATAGTATTTATAATTGCAATTGATGGTATGCCCTTTTCGTCACTATTCCAGGTAAAGAGCTATATTCACAAGTGAATGGTGTAGATTTGTATTTGCAGATGCAATAGGTGGTTGTGTTAGTATAACAAGATAAAAACTGTTGTGTACCTCACAATGGGTGCTGCTTGTTGTGTTGCTGCCAAAGATAAAACTATACAAAATGGTTCAACCAGTGACATTTTGCATCGGAATATTCGATGTTCTCCAACATGGAGCTTTCGGTGGGATCATCGAGGGCGTGTAGCTGGTGAAGATACTTCTATAAATTGGTTTTCTGATGGTATTAGCCGGAATGACGGATCAGAGAATAAAAATGAATCAGCATATGTATCAGAGGATGGAAGTCCATTGCAGAACTATCAACAGAACAGATACCAAAAATCCCCAATTTCTGAAGGAACTGCTGCACATATGAGAAATTCACCTTCAGGTAACTTTCTTGAAATCAGCTTTCTGGTTTTAACTGTGGTCCTACTTGGGTTGGACTTTCTTATTTTTAGAATTGGATTTTGTATCAGTTACTTCGTAGTTCATTCTACACTTATAATCACAAAGATAGGTGGAAGATATGAAATTAGTACATGGTATTACATTAAATTTGGAAACATGGTGATGTCTTCTCACATATATTTCTTTCTCATAAGCTATCAGACATGAGGTAGAAAACTGAAAAATTAGCAGCAAGTGTGGTTAATTAAAATGATAGTTGTGCACAAAGTTCTGAGTGGAGGAGAGAAGCTGGCATCACGAAGTAAGAGCAGAAGCTGTAGAACTATCAACTGTTTTTGCTTTATTTACTACATTGTTGTACTAGCAAGCCTAGAGGAATCAGCTGATCATTTTAAAAATGATGGCACTGCAAATCAAAGAGAAATGAGCTGTTAGGAATTTAAAATTTTCATGGTGTTAACCAGTGTTTAAAGTCAAACCATAGACATACCTACCAGAAAGGAATAGAAACCGAAAAAGTTGATGAATGTAAGAGCACCATTTCTGTTTGAATGAGAACAATTAGTTCAGCTAGTGAGATTAAGATACCAGTTTCAACCAGACAGGAGGTATTGCATTTGACAGTTTATAGAAGAAAGGAATAGACTGAAACATGAATGAGAACATATTAATTTCAGCTGGTGCAATTAAGGGTGCATTTGGACAAGCTTTTTTTATAAAAGCACTTTTTGATATAGTTTTTTTTTCAGAATATACTCTTTCTAGCTCTTGTGCTAAAACTGCTTGTTTTGTATAATGAGTTTTAGTTTTTTTTTTAAAAAAAAAACTTATCTAATTATCTTAGACGTTTTTAGACATAGTTTACAACATTTTTTTCAGCACCAACAAATGGTTTACCAAATCATTGATATAATAATGTCTTACAGTATCTGTACTTATGCTCCCTATCAAATAATATGTTTTTCTCTTCAGTCTTCAATCATTTGTGGTCCATCTCCTTTGTTAAGGAAACACTGGAGCATCAGTGAATTATCATGTCTTGAAATTTATCTATATTCTTATTTCTTACGAATCAATTTTTTTTTTGGGTACTAAAAAGTTCCTTTGTCATGCATTTTTTATCTTAAAGTTGTTACTAAAGAGAAAGTAGGATAAAATTCTCGACATAGGGCTTAGCCAATTTAACTCTTAATACAAGATCGTTCATGGCAAGTTTTTGTTGATTATTTAGATAGATGATTTTTTTCGAATCCATCCTCCCAAAGAACCTGTGAAGATTATTTAGGCAGTTAAGCAAATAGGTATAGATAAGGTGGTTTTGTATTGCTTGCTTTGCGTCCTATTAAAATATGTTGCATGACACTTTTTTTAACTAATACAGCCGCTAATTATTATTCTGTCAACTGGTTCTTTTATAGGATCTGAAATGGTTATTTATGTTTATTGCAGATCAATCTATTTCAAGGAACGTCTCTATGGATGTCAGTGTGGAACAGGTGAGGTTATAATAGTGAATTATTTTTTCGTTGTTTTGCATTTTTGCTCAGTTGTTGGTATGTGATTTCCTACCTATGAATCATTTTCTAGGTGAAGGGGTTGGCAGAATCATCAATAGTATCTAGTCCATCTCCCACAAAACCATCATTGCCATCAACTTCATTGTCAGCATCTCCTCTATTATCCCAATGTCACACGACTCCATCCAGCTCAACCCCATTAAGGTTGCCTTGCCGTTCTCCTGGACACCAGCTGTTACAGCAAGCTTCTTACAGCCGAACCCCAGCATTTAAGTCACCCGGCAGCTTCTCTCTGTCTGAAGATAGGCCAGGGTTTCCCTCATGGAGCAATGAATCAGGTATCCGCTCCCATGGTGGATCTTCAGATGGTTGGTCTATACCTGGCCTTTCTGAGTCGATGGGAACTCCCGTCAGAGAAAGTTGGTCATTTGATAGTGAGTCCTTTGGTTTTAATCGTGAAAGGTTAGCTAGATCCAATAGTTGGTTTTCTGCTTCACCAGTTGATTTGCAAACATGTGGTGTTTGCTCAAAGCTTTTAACGGAGAAGTCTTCTTGGAGCACCCAAAAGATAATTGCAAGTAATGACCTTTCTGTAGTTGCTGTTCTTATCTGTGGGCACATCTATCATGCTGAATGTTTGGAGACTATGACACCTGATATCAATAAGTATGACCCAGCTTGCCCAGTTTGCACTTTTGGTGAGAAACAAACTATGAAGCTGTCCGAAAAAGCTCTGAAAGCTGAAATGGATTTGAAGGCTAGAAACAAGAAATCAAAGAATCGGATTGTGAACAGCGATATCGATGATGATTCTGTTGTGTTCGATCACTTTAAAGGGAGAGGGCTTAAAGATAAAGGTCCTAGGATGGACTCCAATTCCAGTGGGAGAAGCTCCTTTGGGAAACCTTTTCTGAGGCGACACTTTTCCTTTGGATCAAAGGGTTCCAGATCCATGTTAGATAATCACCCTACAAGAAAGAAGGGCTTCTTTTGGGCCAAATCTAGCAAGGAATAAGCTCCTTTTTGGTTGTGGGGAGGTTAGTTGCATTATCTTAGTTTTGTTGCATGCGCCAGTTTATCAGTAGAATCCTTAAATTTGGCTTATGCCATGCATTGCCATAAAGAAATAAGGTTTCTCTGCTTTCCCATTCTATAGTTAGCAAGTTATTGTGCTTCCAGATTTTTTATGGTTTGGTTGTGCGAACAGAGTTTGAACTTCAAACATTTGATATCCCCCGGTTATAAACTATAGCATGATGGAAATCCTCAGTAATTCTTTTGTACTTAACACGTGTTTCTTTTCACCTTCTTTATGGCAGGTTCCATGTTGATCTTCTCTGCATCCTTAAAAGGATTGTGAAAAGGGCAAGATGTAATGCATGATTTCTGAGCATCTGTTCACACTAATCTGTGATTTCAACAAGATTAGAGGCTGAAGTTACTCTGTAAAGAACACATACAGAAGTGGAAGATGAATATAGAGACGTAGTAGATAGTGTTTTGAGACCAAGAGTCTTTTTGTTTTGTACAGGTCGATTTGATTATTGCAAGGATATAATTCATATCCAAATGATGTTCTGTTGACCATGATTCTGCTTTTATGTAATGCGTGCCATTAGCCCTTGGGAGTTTCTGGTGTTGGGCTATGGTCTTCTCCACAGATTGTTAGGCAATACCAATTATTTTGATTGACTTTAGTTGGTTGCTTTTAATGAAAAAACAGCTTCAGGAATAGCCTTTTATCAATTTAGTGTTTTTTTGTACGTGGCAGATTGATCTATGTACTTTTTTCTGGACGGGTTGCTCTTAATGAAAGAACGGTTTCAGGATAGCCTTGTATCAAATTAATGCTTTCGTCCGTAACAAGTTTTGTTATATGCTTTTTCATCAGTTGGTTGCATGCTTCTTTTATTATGCTGGGCAAGGATTTATGTTGCTTGTTGATTGCATGTTGACTGATGTTACTTATGGCTATAGAGGTCCGTGCATGTTTCTTTTGTTGTGTTTTTAAATTTGGTAAATTATACTTCCCTGTTTTAGAAAATTACACCTTTTACTTCAGAGATTTAATGTAAACTAATTCTTAAGGTCATTTTCCCCTTTTTCTGGCTTTCTTCATGATATGTTATTCAAAATCAATTGCTGTGACCCTGAAAGTTTAAAGAGAGAAAAAAAAAAGTCACCTGGAGACTCGTTCATTTATTTTCGTCGGAGAGAACTTTAAATTTTTAAAAATAAAAGACAAATTTAAACATTTCTCAAAGAAATAAATGTAATTTATTTTTATAATTTTTATCACTAATACATACTAATGTTATGATGCCATGTGAATACCTCAAGTGATATTAATAGAGAACATTTATTGATAGATACTTTTTACTGATTTTCATTAAGTAAATGTTTAATGAGATCATGTACAAAGAAGTTTAAATTTTTGTTTGCTTACAGCGTTAATTACGTGCATATTATACTTGTATGGGTATAATTATAACTTGATAAAAACATGCCCTAATTTTGTAGTCATGTATTTGCGTATTTAGCACTTTAAAAGTGTCTTAAGTCCACCTAACTTCCTCTTTCCACTAGGAAAGAATAAATATACAGGATACTAAAGTGTTAGAATTATCTAACGTACTAATTCTTATGAGTTACGAATTTTTTATTTTCATACAAACGTACTAATTTATGATCATGTGGTGCATTATGAATGTTTACTTACTGATTTAAATAATTATTTTGTTTGGATTTAGACACTTGTAATGTAACTATAATATTTGTATGGGTTTTCGTTTTATCCTTTAACATAACACAACAAACTTTCCTACTCTCACAATATTTTGTGGGGCTCACATTTTTTAAAACAAAAAAATAAATAAAAAATTAAAGCACGCAAAACGAATCTCTATAACATTACACAATCACTTTTCCTATAACATAACTCTTGTAAAACCCTATTTTTATTTGCACTTAAAATACTGGTTCGAATAGGTACAGTGCCGGCCTTAGCATATGATGAAAAGACGCTGAAAATAATTTAATTTATTATATTCCCTCGACATTAATTAAAAAAGAAAAAAATACACTCAAGTACTCCAGATCTTATCTCAATGGAATGAATGACCAGGGAGTATGTCAACAGAAGTCATATTCTTCGAAGCTGTTCATGATTCTAGATTTTAAGATAAGTACGACAATTCCATTGATTAGAAATGAAATCATGTCTTCAACAAGTTAAAATCGTTATTCTGAGTTAATATAATGGGTTTATCATCTATCATTTAACATGATCACAAAAATTTTCCTACACACACAACATTTTGTGGGGCTCGCAGCAAAAAAAAAAAAAACTCTGGCACGCAAAACGAATCTCTATAACATAACACAATCACTTTTCCTACAACATAACTCTTATAAAATCCTAATATAATATAGGAAAATACTATTCTCATATAACATGAGTAGTTATCTTCTTTTCTCTCACTTTAAAAATCGTGTCTTTTTTTTTTTTAAATAGCGAGCTCTACTTAAATTCTCTCTGTAACATAAAAGAACTACTTTCATATTTTCATATTAAGTGAGAGTAATATTACCCTATAATATAATCTCACATTTTTTTTCAGACAAGTGGAGCAAAACAAAACGAAATGCAGCATATGTGACCTTGGAAAGGACAACTGTCCTCTTTTCTCTTACGTGGCAACGGGTGTTTATATCTTGTGGAACCACGTGTTGGGTTGTTTGGCTCCAAGTTACATGCATATCTCCACCGCCACGAAAACCTCTGGTTTAAGAATTGAGAGAAACCCAAACTTGTTCACAGAATCACAGTATCTACTGCCACAGTCTAAATTTCTTCAAGTTGAAGGAAATGGCCGAAGCACACTTACGAGACGAACATGGCAACCCTATCCAACTCATTGACCAATACGGTAACCCTGTTAAGTTAACCGACAAGAACGGCCAACCCGTCCACCTCACAGGTGTTGCAACCACCACTCCTACTCCTTCCCCTGGCACAGCAGGGACCAATACCACTGCCACTGGGTCTATATTTGGAACCTACGGTGGCGTTGCATACGGTGGTGGTGCAACCACTGGCACAGCTAGCACTTTTGGGCCTGACAAAACCACGGTGGCTGATCTATTGGCTACCGAGCGAAGGACTGAGATGCCTGTGCATGACCCAACTAGGCTCCATGAGAGAGAGACTGGAGAGCTTCGTCGCTCCAGCAGTTCAAGCTCTAGCTCGGTATTTTTATCGTTACCTTTTTTTCGTTTATAATTTTAAGGTTTAATGTATTTCATATTATCCCTTATATACATATAAAGATATGTACGTAAAGAAAAAGAGAGATAGAAATTCTAAAAAAAAGAATAAAAGTAGGGTCCTAAAGAACCATAGGATACACCACTTCAAAAGTTAACTCAAAAGGTGAAAGTGTTAAAGGCCTTATAAAAGTCACATTAGTTGCTCATACAACCAATGTGAGACTATATCTCTCAACACGCCCCCTCGTGCAAGAGTGGACAAAAATAAAAAGCACAAAAAAGGTAAACAAAAAATTGGGTATGTGAGGGGGCGTGTTAGAGATATATAGTCTCACATTGGTTGTACGAGCAACTAATGTGAAGTGTATAAGACCTTAGGCACTCCCACCCTACACGGTTCCCACTGGACCCACTTAGTTGAAATCGTGGTTCCTCACAAATTCAAAAAAGACCCATATTAATCCTTAAAAAAAAAAACCTATATTAGTTCCTCAAAAGTCAAAAGACTAAAATGGATCTACTCTCAATTTCTTAGGGATCTTAGACTAATTTTTTTTTGTAAGGGATTAAAATAGAGACAGTGTTTTACTATTAGTACTGTAGTTAACAAAATCAAATTCTAATTACACATAAAATTTAAAACTTTAATTTAATTTTCAAGAATAAGAAAAGGATAGTAAATTAATAACTTACAAGACGTAGTTATCAATTCAATGGCGTTTAGTATTTAAATTCAATCATTGCTTTGAAGTCAGCAATTAATCTCAAAAGACTCATCCAACGATTTTGATAGTCATTCTGCAGTTATTATTATGATAATTCTGATTGGGTTTTGGTTCAACGTTTTTATAGTCTGAGGATGACGGGCAAGGTGGGAGGAGAAAGAAGAAGAAGGGACTGAAGTATAAAATAAAAGAGAAACTACCTGGGGTTGGAGGAGTGGGGAAGGAGCATTCACAGTCAACCACCACCACTACTACTACAACGGCTGCAACTACTGGTGCTCACCACCAACCTGAGCATGAGAAGAAGAGTATTATGGAGAAGATCAAAGAAAAATTGCCTGGCCACCACACCCACTGAACCTTTCTCTCTATGACCTCTGTCCGTCCGTGTCTTGTTTGAGTCTATGCGATTTTGTATTATCGTACCAATGTATTAATAATTAGTTGCAATTATGCTTTATATTATATGTAAGAATACATGGTGTGACTATCTTCTGCATTATGTATATGTATGTACTATATATATGTACATAACGCCTTGAATATCTCGATCGTACCCACAACATTACTTTTAATATCTAGTTCAAGTGGTGTATAAGCTGCACTAACTATATTTAATTTTGATGGATACGTGATAGCACGAGATTCAGGAAGATGGGCTATGGCTATGGCTATGGCTATGGGGATCTAGCAATTGGCCAATAGCTAGGGGTGTCAATACCCGTATTGACTCACGGGTTGACATGTGACTCGACCCGCCAAATCACGTGTCGTGTCAACCCGTGTGTCAGAGTTGTGTAAATGTGACTCGTTTATTTTCGTGTCGGGTCACGTGTCAACCCGCGGGTTTGCGTGTCAACCTGCACAGTGTCATTTTTTTATTTTTTAATTAAATATTTTATTATATTATTATTTTTATTCATTTATATATTGATATATATAGTCATTTTTTAGTATAGAAAAGAATAGAAGGAACTAAAAATCTCAAAAAATAGAAGCTAATCTTTTTTTTTTTTTTTTATTGTTTTTAATTTATTTATTTTTCAAAAAATCCCACTTTTTTTTTAAATTTTAAATTTTACGGGTCATGTCGTGTCGACCCGTGACCCGCAACGGGTCGTGTCAGGTGTTTTACGATCCGTTTACAAAACGGGTCGTGTCAGGGTTTGTGTTTTACGATCTGTTTACAAAACGAGTCGTGTCAGGGTCGTGTCAAATAGTGTACGGGTTAAAAACGTGTCGTGTCGTGTCGGGTTGACCCGTATTGCCACTCCTACCAATAGCTCAATAAATATATTGTTGCATGGGGTTTCTTTTGTGCAGAGCGATTTGCTTGTCCCACATCCAGAATAATGGACACGAGAATAGAATTAGCCATTAGTGCTTGTCTGATACGTCTTCTTTTATGGAAGTTGGTGGTGGTGACGAATGAATGCATTCATCATTTTCTATTTATTTATTTGGAGAAAAAATAATAATTTATTCACTAATTCTTGTTATATTAAAATAAAGAAATTAAGGCAAGCTTAGTTATATTCGATATCTTCAATAAATAAATCGTTTCTGGATTAACCTAATGTGAGTTGAATTTTGGATTAACGAAATGGAATGAAGTAATATTAATAAAATAATACAGTAAATTATTAATTATAATTAAGGGATTAATATTTATCAATAAAATATGATTTTATTTTCTATATAAATATAAAATTATGTGAAATTTATATCTCTTTAGCTTCACACATTTTTACAGGTATAGTGAGAAATATTAATTTCTATAATTAACCAAGACAAGACAAAACATTAAATGAAAAGGGTACAATTGAAAATTTATCATTTTAAAAAAAGAAAGAAAAGGATTCCGTTGTTAAACTCAAATGCGTGCTCACTGTCACTGCTACTCCAAAGCAAAAATTGGGGAATAGGTTAAGGTGGAATGTATCTTCTCTCCCACTCCCTAATTCCCAATCGTGCAATCTCTCCAACCTTGCGTCTTGGATCAGCCAGAGTGGTGAGAGCAATGGGGGCCCACACCACTACTCTCGAACTCAATCGCTTCGCCGAGGTCGGTAACAGAGTCGCCGATGCCGCCGGTGAAGTTATCCGCAAATATTTCAGGAACAAATTAGACATTCTTGACAAACATGATCTCAGTAACTCCTCCACTTCGCTTTCGACCTTTGAAATTTAAAATGCTTTTTATTTATTTATTTAGAGTTTAATGCCTTGTATTCCCTCTGCTTTTACTAAATATTGCAGGTCCAGTAACCATAGCGGATCAATCTGCTGAGGAAGCTATGGTTTCAATCATACAAGACAATTTCCCTTCTCATGCCATGTAACTATTTAACCCTACTTTAATTATTTAATTTTTTTTATTTAAAAATAAAAAAATTGGTTGTGATTATCCTTCATTAGGTGAAATGCCAACATGATTGAAACGAAGTAGTACTACAACTAGTATGAAAGATTACAAACTCATATGCTGCATGTGCTGATGTGGAAATGGAAATGGAAGATCCAATTATAACAATATTATCCATCGTTCACTGTTATTCCCCTTGAACCTAATAAAAATAAGGGATTTGGTGTGAAACACTCGAGTGTTTTAACCTTTAGATTGATATATTTGTATGGAGATTTGTTATTTAATTGACAAATAAAATAAAAGAGAACTGTACAACACTGCTGTTCCTAGAGGACTTGTGTGCTCGTGCGATCAGCAGCACAACCCATGAAATAATACACAAAACTTGCAACGGGATGGTTAATCATGTAGTTAAAATTACTGAAGCACGAGCCTGGACTTTCCACTAAATTGCAGTTACGGAGAGGAAAATGGATGGAAGTGTAAAGAAAAAAGTGCTGACTATGTTTGGGTATTAGATCCCATTGATGGTACAAAGAGCTTTATTACTGGTAATTTTCTTTTATGGTTTATTATTATTATTGGGCCGGAGTCCCAAAATTCCACTTTGACACTGCTTTTTCTGTATCCATTTCAGGGAAACCCTTATTTGGTACTCTCATTGCTCTTCTACAAAACGGCTCACCAGTAAGGATTTCTTACCACTTGAATGCTTATATAGAATTAGATCCATTCACATTTTATTTTCCTACAACTGCGTGGTAATTTTTTGCAACATTCTTACTAAAGAAAGAAAGACAGGATATTCAATCATCCTCATTTCTTTAATATTTTAAAAAAAAATCCGAGTCTTTGACAAAGTCAATATCAATTTGTTTGATTTTTTTATCCAGTGATACACTGATGCATATATATTAAGTGATGCTTGGTATATTACCTGCATAATTACATTGTAGTGTAACTGAGGATGTTGTCGAGATGAATGTCAAATTGTAATCAATGCTGTCATCATTTTCAGTTAATTGAGAAGTAAACTTTATGTTAAGTTTAGTTTCCTTTTCATCAGATCCTTGGCATAATTGATCAACCTGTGTTAAGAGAAAGATGGATTGGGATAACTGGAAAGAGAACTACGCTGAATGGACTAGAAGTGTCCACACGCACTTGTGCGGACCTTTCTCAATCATACTTGTATGCTTTTCTTCTTTTTCCGTAGCTAACTTTATTATGAATGGTTTCTGAATTGGAAGACGGAAAAGAAGGCTGGTCTGGAAACAAAAGTAGTTGACATTTATTTTAAACCATCTGCAGTTTTTGACATGGTTACTATAGGTTTACTAGTCTAACTAGTAACAAATCTAATTTCATTTTTTTCCCCTGTTTAGGTACACCACAAGCCCGCACCTGTTCAGTGGAGATGCAGAAGAGGCATTCATCCGTGTTAGAAGCAAGGTCGGGTTGCATTTTTACTTCATTTGTTACATATAGGTAGTGCACATAATATCTCAAAAACTGCGTTAATTTCATTTGTGAAGGTGTGTCTTTTATGAATATGCTGTCAAAATATTTAGTTTGTGAAGGTGTGCCTTTTCCTAACTAGAGTACTGCTTTAATTTCTACTAAAGCATTGATTACTCTAGTTTTATTTCCAAAACAAGGAGGGTTGCGCACACATGAATCCACTTGTGTTATAAACACGATCAATTATTATTGTATTGCTGACTCCACCTTTTGAAGAACTACTAAAGTATCACAGAGAACGAGAATTCAAGGAACAAAATTAACTTGGCTTTGTACATTTCTGACTCAATTAGTTATCAATATTGACCATCAGTTTCTCTTCTACTTATTGACGTTGTTTTACATTAGTGTCTGAACTCATCTTAGAATGAAGGTTGAAGACTGCATCTGATAGTAATTGCTAAAATGAAATTTTCTCTTCCTCAAGAGATATATCTAGATTTATTATTGCCGTTCAATTACTCCTTGCACTCTTCAGGTTAAAACTCCATTATATGGCTGCGACTGCTATGCATATGCTCTTTTGTCTTCTGGCTTTGTGGATCTTGTTGTTGAGTCCGGTCTGAAGGTATGCTCTACTCTCTATTTTCTCACCTTTGGTTGCATGTTTAACTTAAGAATCTTTGGACCCATATAGAGCAAAACCCTGAGATGACTAAAACAAGATTTGTTTGTAATATAATTATTTGAGTATCTTCTTTGGGTAAACTTTGTATTTCAGCCATACGATTTTCTTGCATTGATACCTGTCATTGAAGGCGCTGGGGGTATCATAACTGATTGGAAAGGACATCAACTCTCTTGGCAGGCTTCTCCACTTTCAATCGCTACAAGTACGTGCTATTTGAATATCGCCCCTTTGAAACCGTGTCTAGTTTCAGTTTCATTCTGAATTGCTTTCTGTTGATCTTATTGCCACCTTAAATAAATGAAATCTAAATGTCATGAATGTTTTGTGCTTACTTCATCCTTACTGTGCCAAGAAAAGAAGCTAAAAAAAAAGTTGTTTTTTTTTTTTATTAAATTTTTATTTTTGTGCTACCGATTCATTATATGAAGCACGGATTTATTTTATCAAATATGATTTTTAGTCATTTCTGTTCCCCCAATCAAAAGCAGAGGAAAAAAATATTTTTATGAGGTTACAGTGCACCCCCTCATTATTGCTTCATTAGGTTCCATTATATGTTAATGAATTGCATGTGACAGGTTTTAATGTGGTGGCGGCTGGTGACAGACAGATTCATCAACAGGCTCTAGATTTATTACAATGGAAGTGACAGTATGGATAATAACCGAGTACAATTTGATGTTTGTAATCTTCTCTGTAAGCCGTGTCTTGGTTCAGACGTTCCTGCGGACGTGTATTATGATGCCATTGTTCAGTTTTTATTTATTAAGGACGTATTTTATGAATTGTTTTTAGCACTACGAACAAATAAATTTGAGCTGGTCAATAACGTAGCAAACAAACTGAGCAGATGGTGAAGGGTAGTAGTCGACTATAAACACTGTGTAACGAGGAAACGCTGATTTACAACCTTGCAACGACCTCCTAATTGCTCATCTTTTTAAGATGGATGTGATCAATTGATCTCTGTACACCTTACAATAGAATGCTTTCTTTGCTTTCAAACTTTAAAAAAGAAACAGAAAATGTCAAGTAATATGGTAACCTAAAACTAATAGAGAGTAAGCTGCATGACTTTATTGTTTAGTGGCTGGAAGAGACCAAACAATGGAAATATGTACATCTTGGGCAGTGACAGTCACAGATAAGCAGATGTGCCAACAACAAATTGACTTTTAATATTTCCCGAAATCTGCATTATAATGGGCGCTTGATTCCAGTTTCTTTGCCTCGTTCAATTTACGGACACCCTGGAAGATAAGGAAGACAACAACAAAGACAATAAAGAATTTAGGATTGGTGTCCTTCCCCAAAGCAATGATTCTACTCATGAAAAATCCCATGGACACATAAATCCCAGCCCTCCCGCTACAGCACTCTATCACAACTCCATTTTGAAAAAATACACAGTAACTCAAACCTGTATAGTATATCATATTCGGACTGAAGAACACAAACTACTGATCTTTGTCGACATTTAGAGTTTATAGATGGAATTCAATCATTAAAACTAAACACAAGGCATTTGAAATAGACAGACACTTGAAAAATTGCTAATTAGAGCCCTAACTCTATCGTTTGCAATCAAATTGCTAGCCAAATACTACTTAAGCTTTTCAATGTATTGAGGGGAGTTTTGATTCCCTAAATACACTTTTACTGCAAAGTGAATAACTACCTTTCAATATGATCTGACAGAAATTACTGATACTGCGTTATATTTTACCTATGAAAACCTACTAAAAGCACCCAATGAAACATAACCATTCCTTTTATAAGTTTACAACAATTTGTAGGATCTACTTAGTGTTATCAAATGGAAGCACCTTACCTTCATGAAATCTTCATGAATTACATAATCACGTTCTGCACGAATTGCAGCCATCCCAGCTTCAGTGCAAACATTACGAAGATCAGCACCATTGAACCCCTGCAGTCAATACATTACATAATCATAAGGAAAAGAATATGAAATACTTTTGACATGCATAGGTATCCTTAATTTACCTCAGCAAGCTTAACAACTGCTTCATAGTCAATTTCACCATGTTTTGCAACTCCAGCAGCATGGATTTTGAGGATTTCCATCCTTGACTGTTCATTTGGTAATGGAATTTTAATTTTCCGATCAAGACGACTACGGCGAAGAAGGGCTGGATCAAGAATATCTGGCCTATTTGTAGCCATAATGATTTTAACCTAGACACAACATCCAACATAACCACTAGTATATATATATGGAAACAATGTAGATAAAATATCAACATCAACGTGAACATCACCTTTTATCTCAAACTAGTTGAGCCGACATATTTAGAAAAAAAAAATACATGGAGTCGATTTTCTAACCAAGTGCAGATCTCCTACATGTTATGAACAATAAACATAGAATGGGAAATCACCTGTCCAAGCTGATCAAATCCATCCAGCTGGTTAAGCAGCTCCATGAGGGTTCTTTGAATTTCACGATCAACACCTGTGCCCTTACGCAAGCGCCGTCCACAAATAGCATCAATCTCATCCATGAATATGATGCAAGGCTAAACAAAAGGATGGAAACAGTAAAAATCAATTCTAAATAGGTATTGAAAACAAAAGTTCCTTTCGGATGCAATGGAAGTTCTTACTACCTGATGATCGCGAGCATATCGAAACATTTCCCTAATCAGTCTTGCGCCTTCACCAACATACTTAACATTTATAGCACTAGCTACAACCTGGAAAAAAAAGTAAAATTATGAGTAGAATGCCACATCAAGCATTTAGTACGCAGAGCATAAAAAACAGAATAGAACCTTTAAGAATTTAACATCTATATTGCTGGCAATTACTCTTGCTAATAATGTCTTCCCAGTTCCAGGAGGTCCATAAAGAAGAACACCCTGTAAGAAAAGAAAAGAAAAAAAAAATCCAGTTCTTTTTCCTTTAATGAAGCGTTAATCTTAAGTCATACAAATGTTTGACAGAACAGCCATGCCTTAGGGGGTTTGATTCCAACCCTAAGAAAAAGCTCAGGATTCATTAGAGGCAGCTCAATTGATTCCCTGAGTTCTCGAATCTGATCTGAAAGCCCCCCAACTACAGAGTAACTAACATGTACTGGATATTTACGAAGCATATTATACACAAACAGGTCAACCTGTCAAATGGTGAATAAAATACAAAAATAATGTCAGGAACGTAGAATGGTAATCAGTCAGAAAACAAATTATCCAAGCGTAGATGAGGGATGGATATATACTTTGCGAGGAAGAATCCTCATAATGGTTAGCGTAGTCATTTCCAGCACAATCCGAGTTCCTGCAGTTAGCTTCTCCTTGACCACCTTATTACTACAGCCAACAACACATCTTCGTCTACCACACACTTTAACTATAACTGAAAGGATTCCAATAATATGGCGCTGCTTAAATTATCATCTCTAATCAATCTCCCAACTTATGACTAAGAGAACAGACGAAATAGAGTTTACAAAAATAATACAACAAAGCATAAATTTAGGTTTTGCTTGCTTAATCGATTAAGTGAAAATTGGAAGGTGAAAAATCTAGAACGAAAATCACTTTGCACTCGCTTGCTACAACATAATATTGATTTTCTTTTTCTTTTTTATATTATCAATCAGTTCATCAATTACTCAACTAGTCCGATTTGATCACATAGAAGGCAAAGCTCTCCCTCCCAAATTTTAACACAGCTGCATTCATAGTAACTCGATCTTAGAAACATGGAAAACGGCAATAACAAACTATGCTTACAGCGTTCATTGTCAAGAGGCATTAGAACATCACCAACGAATTGGCCAACACTCTGGAGGAACTTCAATTCATTTTCAGTTTTCGCGAAATCCTTCTTTACAGTCTGCAATTTCTCTCTTTCTGAGAACAATATAATTCCAAATAAATCAATTTACTGAAACACCACATTGTAAAAAAATTTAACATCGATATAGCAAGTTTATCGAACCAAATGAAGAATACATTTTTATTTTATTTTATTTTTCATAAAAAAAGTGGTAATTGAAAAAGAAATAGGGTTTGGTGTTGGATTAAGAGGTGACCTGCTCGGAGTGTGTAGTGAAAGAACTTATGAGAGGAGAGGAGCTCTCTGTGATGCTTCATCAATGCAAGACGATGTTGTATAGCTCTTTGTCTCATGCTCGACATTTCTCAACTGCGATCGCTGCTACTCTTTCTTCTTCGCCAATCACAATTGGACAGTTTCACTTCCCGCCCAAGCAACCAACCTACATTTTAAATGGACAATAAATTAGAGTGAGAGGTTATACTACTCTTAATGTAAAACTTTAACCGTTGATTTCTGTCAACTTAACGGTCGTAATTTATGGTGTTATACTTATTGATTAATTATTAATTTGTAATAAATTATAACTGTTAGATTGACGGAAATCAACGGTTAAGATTTGGTAATAAGAGGTAATAAGAAAAATAGGTAGTAAGTATAATCTTACTCTAAATTAAAATGTTAAATATATTATATTTTTGGGGTTTTGCATTTGTCATTTAATATGACACAACAAACTTTTTTACACACATAACATTTTGTGGGACCCACACTTTTTAAATAAAAAAGAAAAAAAGAAATTACGGTACGCAAAACGAATCTATATAACGTTACACAATCACTTTTCCTACAACATAACTCTTATAAAACCCTATATTTTTACTCATTTCTTTTGTTTTTTTTATCATGATATATTATATTATATTAATGCATTAAAGTTTTTAGCATAGATCGTGTCGTGTCCCGTGTCTCGTGTCAATGTCGGGGCATCATAGAGTGGCAGCATTATCATTTTTTTAAAAAGATTTTGTTCATATATTAAATCTTGATTTTTGTTGTGTAAATTTATTTTTTAACGATAAATCTTGTAATAATATTGTTGTTCCTTCCATGAATATTTTGATTTTTACTTTTATTTTTTTATTAATTTCCTTATTATTATTCATATATTAATAATCTTACAAATAAAAGAGAAACCATCCTCACTCAACCATATAACAGAGACTTTAAATCAGTTTCGAATACGGAAAGATTATATTTACAAAATTTTTATTATAAATTTAATTATGTATTCTAAAAAATACAAACACCTAAGTATATATTATCTGAAATATATAGTTGAGTTTGTAAACAAAATATTTGTAATATAACTCTCCTCTTTCAAAAAAATTTTTTTGGTATGCTGTAATAAAAATCAGCAGAGAAAACTACAAAATAATCGCTGTACGAACTCTTAAAAATAGAAGCTAAATCAGTAATAAAAACAGACTGAATCTGAAAAGGAGATAACAGAAAATAGACATATTTGGGGCATTAGGATTATCAAGAGCATAGTTTGTCAGGCAGTCAACACAATAGTTGCCTTCTTTTTATGTGTAGACTAAACAGACTCGCCAATCTTTTTGTAACCAAGTCCATATCTGAACTACCAAATGAGGTTCACGGGTTGCAGCACCCTTTTTAGAGAGAATAATGATTGCAGATATTGAATCAGATTCAACAATAAGATTTTTCTCTCAAATAGTTTTTCAAAAATTAAACTTGTAACTTATAACTTAATTTTTAATCTTCTTCAAAAAGAAATATAACACGCCTTCAGTTTATAATATTTTTCATATTAGCTTTGGCAGGAAAAAATACTTAAATATTAATGATAATTTTTTAAAAAAATAAATAAATACAAACTATTAGCTAGTTGAATGTGGAGATTATATTTATTTCTTTTCCTCTCTAAATTTAATGTAACTTTTTTTTATTTGCATTTGTCATAAAATTTCATTTGCAATCGATTCTAAGGGTGTGCATTGACAACCTTCCCGGAATGAGTTTTTTTTTTAATTTCAATTCGCAGGAATAAAAAATGAATGAGAAACTCGTTTGGTAAAATCGATTTATTTTTTTGTGCTAGGGAATAAAAAAAAATCAAAAAATTTCTGCTTTGATCGAGGACACATAAACAGAATCAGTTTTCTCTATTCCAAGTTTTCCCTCAATCTCTCACTTCTTCGTACCCACTCACACACGAACACCAAACATCACAGGCCTTCAACCATATCACCCCTCCCTTCAGTTTTCACGAGAATCAGTTTTCACGGCTGAAGTTCTTCGTCTCCTTCAACGTCTTTTTCTATTCCTTCACGAGAATGCCACAGCTACCTTGTTTGGTTCTCTACCATCTTTAGCAAGCTCCCTTTGTAGTCTGTAGAATGCCACAGCTACCAACTGGTTTGCATTTGTCCCCAGTCTGAAATCATATTTGTATACTAGCAACATTAATGGAAAATTATGGTTATATATTTTTAAATTTTAATCATAGACCCTGCACATATTCAATTGTAGAATCATTAGCAGCAGTCACAATTCCAGTCCATTATCATCATAAAACAAAAACAAAAATTGGAGTCTTAAAAAATTCATGCATTTTCAAAAAACTTGTAAGAAAAGTAAAATTTCTTAAAATCCAATTCTACTGAATGATTTCAAGCTACGAATGGGGCTTAAAAGGAGGAGTTTAAACCAGTTTACAACTTGGTATTTAGATACCGCATCAATTTTCAATTTAGCTTTTCAGCACAAAATTCCCAGTGTTGTTCAACCAGTGGAACTGTGGAAGCATTTTGGAGAAGGTAGTTGCGGGAAGCCTGATTTATAAATTTCTTGATGATAACACATTTTTTTAAAAAAACTATATAATAAAATATTATAAATTTTTAGATAATTTTTTTAAATATAAAATTTGGCATTTCGGTTACAATTTATTGTCATTTGCTATTTTACACAGTTGATGAAATCTATAAACAAAAGTAAAGAAATAGTTATTGTGTTATCAAACGTAATTCTAATTTTCGGAATAAAAATAAAATATGTTATCAAACGTAATTCTGATTCTCGGAATACAAATAAAATATGTTAACAAACGTAATTCTGATTCTCAGAATTATTCCAAGACACAGAAATAGAAAAGAATCATTTCTTTTCAGAAACAATGCCAAGAATCAGAATAATTGTCGTGCACATTAGAATTGTTTGATTGAGAACTAATTCAATGCCAACGCCCAATAGCACAGATTTCCAAGATTGTTTGAGAAAAGAATATTGAAAATGATTCCTTTTGTTGAAGTCAGGTGGCGGTAAAATAATTAGGAAAAAATATTTATACTTTTAAATGATACAATTTATATCTTTTTACTCTCACAAAGAGGTGGAACCCCATACTTTTATATTTTTTTTGTCCATTCTCTCTTCTCTTTTATCTATCTCTTTCTCTCACTTAAAATGATATAATTTTATATCCTTTAAAATGATACACATCTTTCTCAAACAATTAAAGAAAATATGTTTTTGATACGCCATCGGAGAGAATCAAACAATCAAATTAATAATAGAATAATATGTATTAGAATTTGGAAAAAAGTTTTGTAAAAGGACATGATACCATGTCTTTTTAACAGTTATAATATATTACGAGTAATATATAATTATAATATTAAAATTATATTTTATTTATAAAAAAAAATATAATTTTTATATCATAATTATATATTATCCGTAATACATAGTTATAACTGTTAAAAAAATATAATTTTGTATCTTTTAAAACGACACACATTAAACCCTCATAATTCTTTATTTTGACCAAAACAAAATTTTAACATGTTTGATGAAACATGGATTAATAACGTTAAATAAGTAATTATTGGAGTTTTTAAAAAATTAGCATAATCTCTCTGATTCTGACACCGAAGGGCCACGCAAATCGTTATCCATAATTTATAGCTGTCCAATTTTATTAGAGCGTGAAGATAGGTCTAAAGTTTAGACATAAACCAGAGCAGGGCACTAATATACAAATAATTAATAATGCCTTTGGAAAGACTATATATATGAGTATATGACCAATTGACCATTGCCCAAATGTGTCATTTTGTCTGCTTTATCTCTTTTCAATATTCATACTCTCTAAAATGGATGGTTGTATGACCCTCCTCTACTTACCCCCTTCTATATTGGTCTACATTTTTTATGTTGGCGCTGGTATAGCAACATCCTAAAATGAGGCATGAGGTGAATAATGAGGCATGAGGTGAAAGGAGGGCATAGGTTCATATAAATGCATTTCCCTTAAAATACTAGCATCTTGAATGATTGAGAGGAAGTGTAGACAAGGATGTGGTCGTAACCATGTATCTACATACACCAGGGTGCAGATTTGAGAGATTCAAAACCAACCCCTATCCTTAACAAATGACCTTCTCATGCCATTTAATATATGGTTGGAGTTAACATTTTCTCCTATATAATTCACTCTCTATAGAATCTCACAATCACAATCAGCATTTTAAACTAGTGCAATTGTTTAATCTTCCTCTCCCTCCCGGTTCAATGGAGCAAGAAATTGACAACTTGATATTCACCATGGGTACGCTTGGAACCAGTTTTCCACAAAAGTAAGAGCATTCATTTACAATAAAAAGAAGGAAAATAATAATAATAATAAATCCATCTTAGTTTTCATTTATTTATTATTTATTTTTGGTTTTAAATTATGGTTTGTACATGATGTAAGCAGGAGAGGATTGTCAAGGTATTACTCGGGTAAATCAAGATCATTTGCTTGCATACTAGCAGATGTGCATTCCGTGGAGGATTTGAAGAAACCAAAAAAACATGATGCGAAGAAAAGGAAGAAACATTCCCACAGGAAGGAATTGCGCAATCTTCCTCCCTCTCCGTGTCGAAGGGCACCCAGTTGCACTCAATTCACTACCCCTTACGTCAATGCCTAGTTTTTCAATTTCCTAATTCCAACTCTATGATCCAATCTGCATATACCCATATATCTAACCCAATTATTATTTTAAGTTTTTATGCCGTTTCTATACATTGTACAAATTCAGTAGAGAAAATTGAAATCAAAATCTATCTTTAATTTTGTTCCTTTTGCCCATTAATTTTCTTGCCATACTACTGGAGAAATTATAATACACACATTCTTCACATATTTCATGTTATCCCAATTTAATAATGGAAAAAAGAAGTATCATTTAAAAGGACACAAGTTGTGTCTTGTGTCCTCTTAGATGATTTACACAAAGTATGACCCGTCATAATTTGTGTAAATCTGAAAAATTGTTTTTTTTACTCTCTTCTTGGTCACATCACTGACATGTAAAGTGAAAAAAAAAATAACTTTTCAGAATTACACAGAGTATGACCGGTGTATAAGTCACTAAAAGGGATTAAATTGTCATGAACATGTTTGTTTTTATATTGCGTTGAAATTTACTTTTATTCAAAAAAAATCTAGGTGACAAGGATTAAATTTGTAATCACTTTATCGGAGAAGTTTTAATAACATGTCATGAATTAGCTATTTCAAAATCTTGAAGTCTCGAGCAAAATATATATGTGAATAATTTTATATTTAACAAATCCGTTCTTAATTCTAATATAATATCAGAATTGAGTATGATCCTGTTGAACAATGATCTAATGCCTAGTCTTGGAAATTTTATGATTCTTGACATAAGAAAAATATATTAAGATCTCATATTACTTTTATGATTCTTACTTTCAATTTAATAATTTTATGATCCTGTTAAACAATCTTATTCTCTTCAATTAACTTCTGAAATAGAGATTGAAATAATAATTAACAAATATTTCTATCTAAAAGGGAAAACTAATGATTTAATGATAACTACAGCAACCAAAAGTATAGCCAATTTGTACCCAAAAAAAAAACAGAATAGCCAAATTTCCTAATAAATGCAAAATTGGAGTGCAATAGTTCATTCAGATTTCAGTCCATTTGCGGTTTTTTTTTTTAACCTTAAAACTGTCTAAATTCCCATCAAGCAGGACAAAAATTGTTGGTCATTTTACAAAAAGATTTGCATTGCTTAGGCATCTAAAATATTCATTCAGTAAGTAAATTATTTTATTTTATTAACAAATACTATTGAAATTTTTTGAGTTTTAATTAGATAATAAAGTTAAAAAATTTATATTGATAATGTATTAATTAAATTCAATTTTTGTTAATGGGAAGCATGTGGCTTTTATTTTTATTTCATAAAATCAAACTTAAAATTGTAATGATCACTAACATGAGATGATTTCAAGTTGTAAGCAAACTTGGGTTGGTTAAAAATGGAGAGGATCAACCTGAATTAGGTTTAGCTCACGCTAACATAATATATCAAAATTTAGTCAGACAAAACTTAGTGTACAAAAATTATAAAATTTAAACTTTTTAAGTAATTGTGACAACCAAATAATGTTACTACACATCTTAACCGTTGATTTTCGCGAATCAACAGTTATCATTTTTTAAATCAAACTCATTAATTAATTATATTTACCAAACAATAATTTCAAACTGAACACGTGTAACTTAAATGTGGAAATTTATTTTAAAGCTAAGATAGTTAAGTAGAACGAGGGCTGCTTAATTGTATTTTTAAAAAAAAAATCATTAAGTAATATAAATAAAATTAAATAAAATAAAAACAAAAACCTTGTTACCATGGCAATTCCCTTATTTGAGAAAATCATTACCGTATGTTTCTTCAATGCAGGTATAGACCTAATTATACATGTTTCCTTATACATTATTAACCATAAGACGTATATATCTTCTCATAAATTTCTTGATATCATAACACTGTTTTCGTCTTAGACCTTAAGGCTATGACTATCACCGTCAAGCATTGTAAAATGAAATTGTCTCTTTCATACTACAAAATCATGTGACATATGGGGAGAACTGAACCTTTGTTGTTGGTTTCCAGCACTGATGCACTCAAGTTCTGCTGTCTCAGCTCCTATGTTAGAAGCTGCAGCTGCATTGTAGATGTCATCCTCCTTCATGGAAACCAAACTAAGATGGGTCTCACCATCCAAATAGTTACCTCCTTCACAATGCTGCAAACCCAATGTTAGAGACACTCCACTTCCTGACTTGAACCTCCCAAACTCCGACATTTGGCACGTCATAAACCTGTCATTAGTTCCACCAGGCTGAACAACTGTGTCATCTGGGAAGAGACCACAATCATAGAAGTTTGGCCTTTGCTCCTCGGTCTGCTTTCCTAACCTATGCTCAGTTTCAGCCTCATGACCTATGCTTTGTAGACTAGCTGAACCAGTGGAAGCCATGATTTCTGTGTCGAGACCTCGATCAGATGAAGATCTGAGGTCTTTAGTTTGTCCACCACTGTAATTCTTATTGGCTATTGAACTTTGAAAGTGCTGCGAATCATCGCACATCTCATTGGAGGTCTTGACATCACTTTTTGTTACCTTGGATGCATTTTCAGATGAAGAACTTGAGTCTATGTCAGCGTCGCAAATCTCTTGCTTGTACATCTCCTCAATCATAGGCTTCCATAGACGAACCCGCGCATTTATGAACCAATTTGAGACCTAATTCAAGCAAAAGCTATCATTACAAATGCTGGTGATGTTTAGTCATCAGACACAGCTGTCACTAGAAAAATCAAAACATCATCATCTAGAATTCCTTTAATCAGTAATTTCTAGCAACAAATAAAAAATTACTATTTATTTTTCATCTTAAAATGAACACAATCTATTAAGCATGTTGCTAAAAACATATTTTTATTGTTCTACCTGACTTCTGGTCAAGCCTGTCTGTCTTGCTAGCATGATCTTATCAGAATCCTTTGGATAGCTAGCAAAAATAGAAAATGGCAATTAGATCAAATAAGCATAAAGGTCTTGGAATGAACTCAAAAAGCTACAAATAAAAAAAGAAGACCAAGGTTGATATGTGAGGGTTTACGGATGAAGGAAATGCTCAAACAGCCAAGCACGAAGAATTGAAACAGAGCTTTCTGGGAGCCCCCTTTGTGGCCTCCATGTATGTTGCATCATGCCAAGCTGCTGAAGAGCCCTCTGTTGCCGGATCTGTTGGTCCACATACCTAAGTCTTGACATTCCAACTCCTTTATTATTACCAGAAGCATCTTGCTCCCCAAGGTTTTTTTGTGTTGCACTGATTTGGCCAGTAATTGCATCACGCAAACACCGAAAATGGCATGAAATGGTTTGAAGAGCAAGTGCTGTGTATGGTTTAGCTGCCCCACAGCCTGCTATCACATCAAATGATGATGCCACAATCTGCATCTGATGATAATATTGTTTGTACCTACTGTCAACCTGCAGCAATAGACAGGTGGCCATTAAACCATCTCAAAAAAAGTTTGTTGCTATGAAGAAGTGCATAATGCATGTTAATCTTGGTCACTCAATCAACTTTATGGATAATGACTATAAAATTGGCATCTGGTACATCATCTTATGTGCTAAATAACACAAAAACAAGAACCTACGAATGTGAATTTACTTTTGACGTGCCAGTGAAATCCATCCATCAAACAATAAAAGATAAAAAAGAGAGGACATATAATTAGTTCTAACTAAATCAAAAATTTAAGAGGTAGCACATGATTTACTCATAACATGCAATCAGGTAAATAAAATAATATGGCCCCAAGGGTGGATGTACATCATATGTGACAGCCAACTTTTGCGCCACCTCCCCCAAAAATAAAAAATAAAAAAGAGAGTGGGAGAGAGAATTGAAAGAAGAAAGTGTGACCGTATAACCTCATTAATATTGAATAGCTGCTCATCTTAAGTCTCAACAGAAAAATAATATCTCTTTCCTTCATTGAGAATTGTTAGTTATTTCTCCTTAATTAGATACATCAATGAACTATAAAAGGTTTGTGTCTTCTCAAGTTTCTAACTTTCTATGCATTTGGAAAAATGAAAAGATTTCATGGAAGAAAGGTTGTATTCAAATCCTCCGCATTAAATGGAGAAGAATCTAGAGCATTGAAGATAGCCCTCCTAGCCATCTATAAATAGGGAAAGGGATGACATCAACAAGTTGAGGCAGTGCAATTCTCCATGAGGGTGAGGTGGAGCAATCCTCCATGAAAGAAAGATAGTCACCATCGAGTGAAGAGTTTGAGAGATGTCATCCCCTCAAACTAGAAAGAAGAACACTAGTTAGTGTTAGAATTCCTCTTCCTAAGAAGAGAAAGTATTCCTCCTTTATGAGAGATAAACTTTGTATTCCATCCTTTGAGAGGGTAAAGATTTGTGTGTAATCCTCTAGTGGTATACTAGGGAAGAACATTTTTTTGTAATTCTACTATTGTTATAGTGGAAGATTTGGACCTATGGTCTTGTGGTTTTTCACTTCGTCATTTGAAGGTTTGTTCATGTTGAAAATTATTATGTTCCATCTCTTGTTTTTACTTCGCTTCGGCATCATAAAGACGCACTCTTTTTCCCAACAAGAATTTTTCTAGCAGAAGTGATTAGACACAAGAATGAAAAATCAGAGAAATTATTATGCAATTTCCAAAGAAGCTCGGGTTTCCTGGGCCATGCCAGACCATCTTCAGAGTTTTTTTTGCCACAAAACATTGCCTTTAATTACTTATTAATCACATGCCTCCCCTACCTTCTTTGTTGCAGCAACAAAAAGGAGCAGACATGAAAGAGTGTACTGTGCTATTAGTTCGACTTCGATGTCATCTACACAGATTATGCTGCTCTCTGTTTTTGACATGCTTTTACATGATCACAAAGAAATTTACAATAACTGTCAAATTACTCGACATTAAAAGAAAAAGTGAACGAGATATTATGGACACCTGCTCAAGATCACATACCAGGAGAGGTTCGTTATCAAATAGATATTGTTCATAAGAGATATTAATATATTATCAGTTGCAAAGATATTACTGGAATTTAAATTCCTTCATGCACATCCCAAGTCAGTATGCAAAAGCACAAAATAGATCCAAAATTTGCAGCTATATCTTCCTCTTGCATACTAAGGATCTTAACGAACTACCACTGTTGAAATACTGATCCATACACAGAATAGAACGTACATAAATTATATACTGTCAAGGGAAGAAAATCAATCTCATTTATCACACTTATGCCCCCGTTCATTTAACAAATGATGACACTGACACACACAAACACAGGAGAGATGAAGTTTTTAACATTCAACTTGGCAGGTTACAACCACTTATAACTCTCTTTTAGAAAACCAATCCTATTTATCATACTCAAGCTTGCGTTCATTTCACAAATGAAGACACTGAAACACAACCACATTAAGATGGTGTTTTTTATATTCAACTTGGAAGGTTACAACCATTTATAACACTCTTAAGAAAATGTAGATTTTTTCTTTTAAGATACATTACAGTGATTTTAAAGATACATGTGGTCATGGTCAACTGTTTGAAGAAATCACAGATATAAAAGAGTGGAAGTCTACATAACATAGGTTTTACCTCATCCAACATTGACAAAAGCTTTGTTAACTTGTTGTGCAGATCTTGCTTTTCAGCATGTGAAAGCTCAGAAGAGGAGTTACAAGCTGAACCTTGAGAATTAGGCACTCCATTTGCAGAAGATCTTTCATTCTCTAGTTGTTCATCATCCTCCTTGGAATTCTTCTTAGAGTCCTCATGTGTGCTATGACTTTTCATATCAGGTCGTTTCATAGCTTTTCGGATGTCAACAACTTCATCAAGCAGTTGTTGTGCTGCCTTGAGGTATTTGGAATTAGGAACCGTTCTTCCAGCACTGGACATTCCATGGAAGGAAAAATCCCCCCTGTTCAAATCTTGACTAGCTTCAGATAAACCAGGTGGAAAATTTTCAGAATGTCTCATACATTCATCCATAGATGAGCCACTTTTATAGGCCTCATTACCTGAAATTGATGGATTAGTACCCAAAAACGAATCAAAACTTAAATTATGATTCCTATCATGGAGAGAAGGCATTTGTATTCCTGAGGGTATTTGGGTTCCAAGGCTGAGAGATAATCCCTGACCCTGCAAGTTCTGTCCATCCATAGGTTGTTGTCTGACTAACATGTCATTTCTACCCTCCCTCCATGCACTGAAATCATGAACCCCAGTTTGGAACCCCCCAATATTTGCTAAGATTTCTTGCCGTTCAGGAGTGGAATGTGAAGCACCTATTGATGGAATCACAAAGCAATTATTTTGCTGCTGAGAAGTACCAGACAATGCTTCTGAATATGAACCAGAGCTCATATATAATGTCATATTGCTTGGAAGAACTGGTGTCTCAGTATACGAACTAGGCAAAGGCTCCCTAAGACAGAGCATAGGCACGGCATCTCTTTGATTACTTGAACTTGTGTAATAAGTTGCCATAATTTTAGGACAGTTGAATCCCAATGCTTGATACTCTCAATCAGATTAAGGTGCCGCTTTGATAAGTAAAAGCAGTAAACTAACACAGACAATCTATTTTGTTCAATAATGAGACAAAAGCTGTCTGAACTTTACTGATTCCTAAAAGTCACAGAATTGCTGGTTGGTGCAGAGTTTGGATTGTCCAATACTGTAAGTTGAAACAGAAGTCGAATGCCTCCTGATCAGAGATTTTTATGTAGTAATAGAACTATTAGGAGTTTGTCAAAGATGATCTCTTAATTACAATAGGAGTTTTCTCCCACTTCCTGCCACCAACACCAAGCTTTAATTATAGATCTTCAATCTCAGGCGTACCTGGCATTACACAAAAGAATTAAACATCAAAAAGAAGAAAAGAGAAATCAAAACAGACATTTTTACGCCAATAAAATGAAAAAGGGAAACAAAGCTCCAATCCTATATTGAACTTTTGCTTCACTCATATGCTGTAAAATTGAAGGGATATGGAAAAGAACCCCTCAAACCCATTTACGTGAATGATGTACAAATGAAGACTTACCCACCACTAAATAAACCCACATTCAAGTAAAGGTTGTCTTAACCAAATTTATCATCTGGGTATACATAGTTACCCTGCCAAAATAAAAAAAAACAAAAAAAAAAAAAACAAGTGATGATTTCGAAAGAGGAAGATGCACTGAGGACCAAACTTTCCTTTCTCAACACTATATTCCAGAAAAATAAAAAACAAAAAAGAACCAACTACCCGGAGTAAAAAAAAAAAGTCTTTTCTTTCCCATCAAAGAGACACACAGAAGAAAAATCAAAATGATATAAAGGAATAGACTCCAGGGAGAAGTACTTACTCCGGGTTGCAGAGGATAAGTACCCAAGAACAAGAAGCACAAGTTGATGATAACAAGATTGAGAGAGAGGACCAGGGAAAACACACTCTGTGTGTTTCTCGTTCTTTGGAACCAAAACCAAAGAGATATAGTGCAACAGTTAAAGCAAAGAGCAGCACTTTGTGTTCAGTAAGTTAATGATAAGAGGGCATAGAAGAAAAGCCAAAATTACCACTTTAACCAGAGAAAAAGTGGGGCATGCCTAGCTTCATCTCCAGCAAGGAGAATTTGTGAGCGAAGGAGTTCCGATCAGAAAAGGAGTGAACTTTAGAGTACAAAATAGGAGAGAGAGAGAGAGATGGAGAGAAGAGATAAGAGAGAAAAAAAGGGAAGAGGGAAAAGGAATTGGCGCAGAAGAGTGTAGCGGAGTTGACATAAGTCTCTATTTATGTTATTGTTATGTTATGTGATGTTATCTGTCTTTTCTGCTTTGGGATTGGTGCAAAATCACTGTTGGGAGCAGCTTCAAATGTTCCTCAGACTATGTTCACACCAAAGTACCAAATTTTAATAAACTAAAGATCAAAGTGTGAATCAATAATGTAACTCCTCTGATTCATAACAGGGCAATTAATCATCACCCTTTTTCCTCCCTCGCTTTCTAAATAATCGTTATTTTAAATTCTTAAATTCTGATTGAAACTATTTAATGACTTCTTCAATTCATGTACAAAATTTTAATCATAAATTATTTTAAAACGACGAGAGTAATTCATATAATTTTGTTATTCAACTTTAAAATAATTTTTTTTGTACCATTAAAAAAATTTATGTAGAGAATAAATATTTGCAATGACTACTAATGTAGGTTTGATATAACGATAAGCAAGTTACACTTTTAAGAATAAAATTTAAATTTAAACTTTAGAAAAGATAATTAGTTAGATACTCTAATTAAAGGTTTATATATATATATATAATGTATAACAGCTTTCACATAAAATCTAAAGAATTTGTGATATATGCAAATATTATTCCTTTTTTTTAGAATTAGTACAAGCACTTGGATTTGTTTATGCTTTTTTTTTTAAGATAAAAGAATTTTTTAAATAAAAATATGCCTAATTTTTTTGATAATTAGAAAAAAATTAAAAAAATAATATTAATTTTTTCTTGGAAGTTAAAAAATAAATTCTGATAATAAAATAAAAAATTATGCGCTATACATGGATGTTTTTATAAAAAATTATTTTTTAATTACAAAAAATTGTGATCATTAGAATTTTTTTGAACAAAATAAAAAAAATAATTTTAGTATGTTCTCAAAAGTTAAAAATAAATAATAATTTAACATAAAAATATTTTTTTTGTGTATCTGAGTTAATTTATCTGATTTGAACATTATCACTTATCATACTCGTATTGGTAGCGACTCTCCTTATATTATTTTCTTTCATTATGAAGACTTGAATTCTAGACATTTAGCCAAGTGACAACTAAAACCTTATGAAAATGCATTCATAGAATGCTTAAAATCGAATGTACTTAACATAAACAACATTTAAGGAAAACAAAAAAAACCTTCCAAGAGTCAAGACCATAACAAACTTATCAACTTTCAGTCTGACAATAAAATCTCCATCTTTCAAACTTAGGTTGCTTTGCTTCTTGCTTTTGTTTTGGTACACATGCATTGAAAATTCAACAGTAATTAATTCCAGATTATGCTTCACATGTTATCATTGTGATTACTGTTAGGTCTTCATCTTGTTTCTTCTATAGGATGGCAAAGTGTTTGGTTAAGGAGCTCAATCCCTAACCACCAGTTGGTAGATCAGACCTAAACCCTTTCATAAACCTCCCCAAACCGTCTCCTACTTAGTTTTTTTTTTTTTTTTTTCCCCTTATTTTTTCAACTTGTATCAGTGACTTTGCTTGAAGCTTTCTCTTACCATTTGTTAACCAGTTTTTGGTGAGGAAGGATAACGGAAGGTAGAGTTTTGCTGCTATATTCGTCATAAAAGCATATTCTACTGGTATCTATGAGTCTCTCAGTCCTACCAAAAGTTTTATATTCTGATTTTGTCTTGCACGTTTGTTTTTTTTCTCCATTTTATTCAGTTTTTACCTAAAACGTTTTTATATAAGATATAAAGACGCATAACACGATTAGCAACTAGTTAGCGATACCTATGTGTCATCTTATTTGAGGCTCCTTTTTTAGTTAGGTTACTTGGGCTTGGGACTATTAAAAGATCTATTTGAACCTATCTCCTAATGCTACGTTTCTTTAAGCCTTCGGCGTCCTTGGCCCAGGTTTCAGCCCAACCAGAGTTTAGTTATACCACTCTCTGGGATATCAGAGTCAACTAAAGTTTTCAAACCTGTTCTACTAGAAATTTGAAAAACTGACTTGGAATCATATTCAACAATAGTCGGGTTAAAATTAAATATTAAATAAATTAGACACAGAAGAAACTATACTTTATCATCTTATATTTTTTGGGAATGTTATTCTCATTTTACATGAGAGTAGTTCTCTATATTATAAAGAGAAGTAATGTGGAGCTCATCATTAAAAGATAAAAAAAAAAAAAAAAGTGGGTGAAATTCTCGAAGTAAGATAACATGATGTAATCATTTCATGTAAAATGAGAGTAATATTTCTTTATATTTTTAACCAAAAAGAAAAACAAGCTGAACTTATCGATTTTATTTTTGATCTTAATAAAATTTAAGATTTTTGTGATGTAAAAGACCAAAATAAATTAAATAAGAATTAAAGCATAGTTCATATTGGTATGTTTAAAGCATAGTGTCATATATCAAAATTTAAAAATAATTCATGTATATTCAAATAAAATTATATATTGTAATATTCTAACATTTTTTGTTATACACGTGTTATATTGAGTTCATCTACCTAAGCTTTATGGGAATAAAATTCGTAACAATATGAACGAGTTAAATAAATTTGCTCGGGCATGTTTGGATGAACCTTTTCTTTTAAAAAAAAACACACTTTTTTCTGTAAATTTGTTTGAATGTCTAGTTTGAAAAAAAAACATAAGTCATAAAAAAATTAAAAATCTATTTTTTAAAAGTTAAAAATTTTAGTTTTTAAAAAAATAGAAGTCAAAAGCAAATTTTTTTTTTCATAAACTCAATATTTTTTTAAAAAATTTAAATAACTTTAACTTTTATAAAAAAACTCTTTTCAAATAAATAAATGTATAAAAGTTGCTTTTTTTAAAAGGACAAATAAACAGGCTCTTAAAAAATATGTTTTTTAAACTAGATTATTTAAATTTAAAAATTCAGTAAAAAAATTTATTTATTAAAACTGTTTCTTGGTGACCCTTGTTCTTATCATCTGTAAATCGATATTTTATAGAAAGTGTTTTTTTATTTAAGAATAATTTAATAATAATAATTAAAAATAACATGCGTCATCCATTTCCTTACCTATTAAATCAAAATATCTATTTTCAAAATATATTTGATCTTTTATTATATTCTCTCTTTAAGAATAACATATTATTTTATTATTATTCTATATTTTATTTTTACTTTTTTGAATAATTATATTTTTATGATCTGCTTAAATACTTTTTCTTCTTTTGATATATTTTATTTAGATTTATCTGAACGACTATATCTATCTCCTATATAATTTAAACATGTTTTCCTCTTAGATATTTTCTTTAAGTTTTATTTTATAAAAAATATATATGTGTAATGTATTTATGCTTGCTAGTTCTTAATACTATTTCTTAAATAACATGTGTCATTCTTAATTTTTTTTTTAAATAATTTATCTCTATATCAACTATTTATACTATTTTAATTATCTATATTTGTTAAAAAAAAAAGATTCTAATCAAATATAAAAGAATCTAAACATTACTTACTAAGAAATACGCATGTTTAGATTAACTTACTTAAAACGTATTTATTTTTCTAAAGTAAATTATGAACAACTATGTACTTAACGAATAACGTATTATGTTCACAATCTCTCGTTCTTTGTTCGATGTTATGATTGTGTTCAATTCGTCTTTGTTTCTCTGTTGTTTAATTTTTTTCTTTGGAAAAAAAAGGTGGAGGCAACGTTCAGTGAGAAAGGGAACCTATCAGGCGTTGTTTCATGGTCACACACAGAAGGGTAAATTGGTAATGAAAAGTGAACTGCGTCTTTCCTTCTTTCTATTTTTGGTGTTCATTTTGTTGGGCCTTGGGAGAAAAAATGCTCAATGTTTCATACCTGTTGAACGCATGGTGGCTCAGATAGATAATCATATGCTGCAAGCTGCATTGCCAGGAGCTTGTAACGTGACTTGTATTATGGTTTTTTATCTAACCTAACAGAATGCCAACTTAAGACATTGGCAGTGCACTGGATGTGGAACACAGGAAATGTGGTAGTTGTTTATTTGTCAGTAACAAAACCAGGGTTCCCTTCCAAAAATACAGTTCAAGCTGCTGACATGTTGGTTTCATCAAGATTCTTTGAGTCATGTATCACTAAAAGCATTTTTTTATAATTATAAATGCAAGCAATTCTAATTAGTAAGTAGCAATCAATATATATATATATATATATATATATATATGAGCTTATCATTTCTCAAGCTGCTTGAGATAATCTTATCTCTGGATAGTAAATCATAACCGTACAAAGATGGATCAATGGTGATAAAGGAAGAGAGAGAAAAAGAGAATCATAACCATTCAAAGGTGAATCAATTAATATAAGAAAATAAATAAATAAAACGACGTAGTTTTGGGGTAGCCGGAGATAAACTTATCTCAAGTTGCTTGAGAAATGTTTTTCTCTATATATATATGGGATAGGTTATTCTACCTACTCCCATCTTGCCTACCTCTTTCTAATACCGTTGGATTACAATCTAATCCAACGGTTCATATTTATGAAATAAAATAACTTCTTTTTTTTCTTTCTCCTCACTTCCTCCTACACCCTTTGTCTCTCCTCCCCCTTTCTCTCATCCTCTACCCTATACCTATTCTTTTTCCTCTACCCATGCGGAAGCATTATGCGATTCGTCGACCACAGCATTTGAAATCATCGTCCTTAAGGATTCATATTTTATCCAATCCACCTTTGTCATTTCAAAAAGTCCCCCACAGCAAGCTTCATTGCTACCAAGAGAACACTTGAACCCGAGTTCTTACACAAGGGAAATTGATTATTTTGACACTTGAATTGGTAACACCAAATATCTTTGATAAATACTTTTTGTAACGGCTTAGTCTCACTCGTATCATATTTTATCCTTTTCAACACCATGAAAAATTCCCCTACTTTCATAAGAAAAGAAGGGGATGAAAATGAAACACTAAGCAGTTTCGCCAACTGCTTGAGTTCCTTGTCACAA